ACAATAAGTCTAGAATAGATTTCACAATCTACTATGTCATCAACCTTCACAACATTAGCCAAACTAGAATCACCTCATATTGTCTTATTACTTTGGTTCTTTAGACAATCCTTTCGCAAGTGTCCCTTCTCATGACACTTGTGACAAATTTGATTTTTCAATCAATTTTTTCGTGACTTGGACCGACTCTTCTTATCTTCTGATGATACTTTTTCTTTTTACCTTCCACGTTCTCTTCCACCCTTCACATATAAACCTTCACCATAAGCCTCAACATCTTTCTTCTGATGATAATACTTCATCAATGAGTCAATAACATCTTCAAGAACGGGTGTTATACTATCATACAACAAGGTCGTAATAAGATGATCATATGAATCTGAGAGAGAAACAAGTAGAATAATAACTTTGTTCTCATTAGAAAAATTAGATTCTATATGAGGTAAATTATTTAATAATTAATTAAAATAATCAATATGAGATGCTAAATCATCTCCATCTAACATGTGTAATCTAAATAATTTTCTCTTCAATGTTAATTTACTCATCATCAACTTTGGTGCACATTATTTCTTCAACTTCTTCTAATGTTTCTTTGAATTGTATTCATCTATGACCTACTAAAGAGCTCAATCAAATAGGCATGTATGAATAAAACCTCCAACTTTCTTCTCCATTATCTCTCAATCATCAACATTGATCTTGTCTAACTTTGAACTATCTAAAGTTGTATACAAGTCAGTCTGCAATAATGTATCATACACACAATGCTTCTGTATATTAAAGTTAAAAGACTTATCTAACTTCTAAATGTCAATATGCACTTTAGAAGTCATAATAACTCCAAAAATAACCAAATCAATGCTCTAATACCACTTGTGAGAGAAAATATATAAACATAGGATCACAATAATAGTAGAAACTCAATTTTTGAATATCAATTAGAACAAATAGAAGAGAAATCACCAAGCTATCAAGAATCTTGATGAGAACAAAACTTCTATCAAACATTTCTAATCCACGTCTGAGTGCCCTCGAGATGACTCACGCATTAGAGAGTCAGCAATAGACTCTTATCTCATTTTATAAAGACTTCACCTACAATAGAAGAGAGAGAAGATATCAAGAAAAGGAATAGAGTTGATAAAAAAAGATAATACAATTAAGAGATAAATTATCATCTATCATCCTCAAAAAAAAAAACATGCCCTATTTATACAAAATAGGAAAAAATAATCACTCTCTAAAAGAAAGTATCTCGATCTACGTGCAATCAAGCCCACACATCACAAATGTGACAACTGCAACCACCCTTGTTCTCTACCTACACAACGCTCAAACGGGTCTTAAGGGTCGACGTGACTACCGTGTCACCACCCCCTTACTCCTCACATGCCTCTCGAGCGAGTTAGATGGGAGAGCTCTCTCTCACATCTCCCAAATGGTTGAGATAGGAGAGGTTCTTTCTCATGTCTCCCAAGTGGGTCAACCGTGATGGACTGACACTATCAACAATGATTAACTCTAAGTGTTTCAGTCAATTAAGTTTTGAATTAAATTCTTAGAGGACAAATTTTTAAAATATGATAGTCTTGTCCTTTACTGTTTGATGAATTTTCAATCATTAATGATTTTTGTTGATAAAATGAACTTAATGATAAAATTGATATTTTCTATGATCATTATATGAACTTTTTAATGATGTTGACATAATATACGAAAAAAAATCACGATAACTTGAAATAACATGTCATTGTTCAACTCATTTTGTATACTTTCAATAAAAGGATTTAACCCATGAAAAAAACGTGAGGTATGAATCAAGTACAATAAAACAAAAAAGGAAGAGTATCATAAAACCAAGAATATATTGAACATTTAGTCATTGGAAAACAAGGAATGTTGAATTATAAAGCTTCTGCATTTGAAATTCACATTTGTCTACCCAAAAAAGGATTTTCAATGTTCAAATCTAGAGAGGGCTGTTAGTAATAAATACTATTAAAAGTATGCTAAACCCGTACACAATAATCCTCAAAATTGAGAACTAAAAAACTAATCAATCTACCTAGAGCCATGAATGTGGTGTTTAGATGTTCAATGACTCAAGTTATATCTATAACCCAAGGGACAAGCTTTGGAAAGATTAGAATATGTTGAGAGCCAAATCCAAGTTATTGAAAAAATGTTAGACTATGCTATGTTTGAAAGAGTCAATTCATTTTTCCTATGATGACTGGAACAAAAAATGACCACAATTTTAATTCCCATGAAAAGATTGTCACCCAACCCCCTATTGGGCCCAATGAGCTCGTGTAGGAACTGAGGGGGCATGAATTACTCTTATCATTTAATGATACAAATTATATGTCATAATAACATGTAAACATAACATATTATGTTACAAATTTCACATTGTGAGATATGTGGTTTCATGCATTAATTAATATTCTCAATATACATACTAACTTATATTAGTATACATTTCATGTTTATGTGCTTTGCTTGATATAGTAAATGTTCAATTATTGCTCAACTTTGATACATATGCTTTCTAATATAAATTTTATATATTATAATATTATGATTCAAATGAAATAATATTTCACAACATAATTATCATATACCGTAACATCAAGACCCATATTTTATTATACTTCTCTATTCTACAAGGTAGCTCCTTATGTTAAAATACGAGACTTTATATAGTGGAGTTGTTTAATAATACATTAAAAATATAAAGGTTGAAACAATAAGCCATTCATACACCACTCCTTTTCCTTTTGGTATCATCATTTTCTTATGACTAAAGCCTACGTCTTAGATTCTTACCTACGTGCAAGTTATCTAAAATACTTTTGATCAATCTGAAATTTATGTGAAAATTTTATGCATAAGTTATCCACTTATGCAATAAACACTACACTGATCAAAATAACACAAAAATGACCCTTTTGATGTTGACAGTTTTTTGTCACCAGCAAATCTTATTTTGAGAATAAATCTCAATACTCTCTTTCTTTTTTACTTGATTCATACTATTATCCACTTTAGATCAAGAGCCTCTACTTATACAAAAGATTCATCCACATCAATTTTTCAAAACAAGTCAACTAATACTCTTGTGTAATGTGATAATCAACTAGTATCAACACTCATTTTTTTCATTACAATTAATGGTATATATCTGATGACTTACGTGTCCTTCTTTTTACGTATATTCTTCTATTTGTATCATTGAAGATCAACCCAAAAATATGAGAATCAACATTAATTGCAAACAGCGAGAAATATTTGCATGTGGTGAATGTCTCATTTACAAAAAACTTAAATGTCTTGACATTTGTATTTAAATGGGGTGTAATTCCAACCAATATGTATACCTTCCTTATTAAATATTATGGTAATATTTTACTCAATCCAAAATTATTAAAAATACATACATTATCCCTTTGTTATTTATTTAAATGATAAATGGCTCAATTTTAATTCAATCATTAGTCATAATCTCCATTAGGAAACGTTTATCAAAGTTATATCCCCACTTTGTTGTAAATGATTGATATCATGTCATCATCCACCACTGTCAAGTGACTGCTGTTATCAGCATAAACTACTGATCACCGGTATGCGTGATGGTATTTGTTTTAAAAAAATGATTAAATCATTTTTTATATGATATAGTGCACATATTCACACAAGATTTTGTTTAATAATATTTTGCTTTATTTCTTTTTATTATTATTTAAACCCGATCCTAAACTAGCCAAACCCTGTCGGTATAGCGGACCCACCACATCCAAACCGCTTAGTATCTGCAAATCTGCTTCGCTACCGTTCTATATCTCAACGGGCTGTACTCCATTGCGTCTTCCAGTGCCAACCACCTCCTCCGTCTCCTTCGGCGGCGCCGGCGTTGCAATGGCTGATTTGGCGGTCGCCTCCTCTGCCAGTATGGCCCGCTTCCCGGCGAAAGCTGGCACCGCGGTGCTGCTATGCTTCATCATCCTCCTCCTCGCTCTCCCGGTGATCTCTGGGGCGGCAAGGTCCCAAGGTAAGCCTTGTCCTTCCAGGCTCCTGCACCGTTTACATTTCGCTCTGGGAGCCCTTCGGAACAAGAATGATCATTCTTGAGAGAGGACTGACCTCATTCTCGAGCCCGGATTCCGTTACCCATGCTCGCCCTCAGACAACGCCTCTATGCGCTGTTCGACGTCTTCTCAGGTGGCGAGAAGATGAGAAGGTCTTTGGGCAGCAAGCCAATGCCATCGCCACCCGCCCCTGCCACGAGCAGAGTGAAGTCTTTGGTCTACCAAGCGCCACCGCCGCCTCCTTCAGCATAAGATCGACGGGCAGCAACTCAGCGGCACGTCTCACAATTCCAGCTTCTTTGGAATCATGTTGTAAATAATGGTACTCTGCGTTTTGTTCCAGTAGTGTCATAAACTCAAACACCTGGTGAGCATGCGGCTACAAGTATGAATTCAGCCAGGAACCACGTTAACGTTAAACAATCCCTCGCGACTAGAAGACCGTCGTGCGGTGTCTGTCAGACTATAAAGTCCATGACCCTTCCTCTCCTCAGCCTTTCGCGCGTTTGCTGTCCCCGTTTGGCGAGTGTAGAGAGGAGGCTTGACGCCGGCGACGACGGCGGAGCGTTCTCGGCGGGGCAAGCGATCGGTCGGCTGTTGATGCCGGCGGCGACCTTCCCTGTACTAGAAGAGTGCGCTGAGAGAGGTTCTCATCGCTAGGTTGGTTGGCAGCGGCGTCGAGTTTTTTCCGTCCAAGGAGCGTTCTCAGGGAGGAAAGCGGTCGGTCGGTTGTTGATGCCAGCGGCGACTTTGTCTGTGCTAGAAGACCGCGCTGAGAGAGGTTATCATCAGCGAGGGCTAGGTTGGTTGGCAGCGACGTCCAGTTTCCTCGCTCCTCGAGTTTGAGAGGGAGGCTTTCTTTCAGGATCACTGTCTCTCCGGGAGACATAGTCCCACAACATTTGACAAATGGTGATACTCTCCCTCTTGCTCTCTCGATCTCTGTGTAGCAACTTTTTTTTCTTCTTGAATGTCTCAAGGTACTTCTTTGATATGCCAGGAATCATCTGCCGCTCTGGAAGACTGCCTGAAACTCTTAAGAGGAGAACGCGACGAGCAGAAGCTTGCTGGCCTCTTGCTCGTGACTAAATTATTTCAGGCAAACGACAATGCATTGGTTCTCAAGGTTTATGAGGCTGTTGGCACTCGGTTTCTTGAACGACTCTTGATGACCGGTTAGCCGTCAGCTTCATGATCATTCTTTCAAAACTTGTTGTTTGATTCCATGCAGAAGGCAGTACTTGCGATCCTTAGTTTGTGATTTTTAAAATTCACAGGCACCGGGACGGGATCTTCTCAAACCAAAGGAGGGGAGGACAAGGCAGCATACCTGAGGCTCTCTGTGACAGTACTTGCAGCATTCTGCCGTGCCCCAGAAATTGCATCTTCAATGGACATGATCTCAAAGGTTCCTCTATTGCTGCAAACTCTCTCCAAATCGTAAGTTTTCCATTGATCTGACGATGAACATGCTGGCATAAATGGTGGAGTTATTTTTGAAAACTTGTCAGTTTATTTTTTGGTTGCGTGTGCAGCGCAAGTTGGCCAAAAATCCTTTCAAAGCTTTTTAGAATTGCACTAAAAAACAAGGCTTTAGCTGTCACTTCATTCCACTTGCAAGATTATATGAAAAATCTTAATGGTCATAGGCAAGTGCCTTTCCAGTTCAGCTTCCAAGACATGCCTTACAATTAAATACATACTTTTCTTTAAAATGGATAGACCATCCTAATTTGTTTGTTCTGTTCACCTCTCTTCGCAGGGTTGCCATAATTTCGGATGGAAATCATACCAGGATAAACAATCGGAATATCTTCTGATTCTAAAATCATAAAATAATCTCTAGTTATGTACAATTTTACCCTTGCCACAAGAAAAGGAAACTACATAGGTCAAGGTAACTGACCAAGTAGGAAACCGACAAACTAGAAAACTGACCAACAAAATTCACAAACGTCAGCTGCTCATGCCATGAGGGCATGGACTGGTTAAAGCTTACATTCTTGATCACTCTATTATTTCGATGTGTAGTTCATTAGTCGTGCATGTCAGATCATGCGCAATTTGAAAATCTTGTAAAATCAATCCTTCTATGTTTGCATCTATTTGACAGACCACATAGGTGCGCTAATATTTTAATATATAGCAACCACTGAACCACCTCTTAAAAATAAGACAGGTGCCAGAGTGTTCCAGTTCAAAGCCTTCTGTAGTCTGTGCATGGTGAGAAAAATACCAGATGAAACCAACTAAAGGTTCATAGAATTGCATTATCTTCAGAGAACTAAGGGATTTAGGGAGGTCATAAATTTTTAAATATCTGATTACTTTGTAGTTCTTCATGAGGTCGTCTCTCCATGTTCCTAAAGTATCCTCACAGTTGTATGTGATATGCAGATCAGACCTCTTCGTTTGTGAGGAATGTTATGAAACTTTGTTGTTAGTTGCAACTACATCGGACGATGGATTCACCAGATTGTACGAGTCTGGAGTCATGAGAGCTCTGGCTTCTAATGTATCTAGTTTACCTGATGGTATGAAATATTTCACCCTTCTATTTTCTTTTCATGTTTGTTTTCCTTTTTCCATTATATGTTCATCTTCTCAAATAGTTTGCAGAACCATGTTTTAAGTTTATTGTATTAGTTTATCAATTCAATGCGATGTTGATAGACCTTCATGTCAGTCTAAATTAATCGATATTTTCTTTTTACCCTATTTTTACATGGTAGGGAATTAAAATTTTCTTCCTCGATAAGACACATTCATTGGTGGTCCAGACACATGTTTACTGCTTTGGAGGCCCATATGTAGCTCATACAATCGCTTGTACAATTGGGTGGAGGACTCTGTCCTACAGAACAATTTAGTCTCTCCATGTAGCCAGGATTTTCCAAAGGTAGATGATGTACTCTGCCAAAATTCGATTTTATACCTCGGTATTATCAATATATATTACGTTAAACCTATATATTTTTAATTGTCACACAAAAGTGTTCATCAATATGCTAACGTTGGGTGACAAACCCAATTGGTATGGGAAGTCTTAAAACGAAAGCTTACCTACTGTCTTTGATTCAGCTACATATTCTGCAAATGTGATTGTAGCCTGAAGACTTGTATATTGGAGAAGTAGTGTACTTATCACACTTTGTGGAACAGTTTATTCACATTGGGAGTGGGATACCATGTTCAGTGCCTATTAGACAGTGCACATATATCACCCATCCTTTTCTTTTGGATGAGGAAAAATGTGACATATTATGCTTTCAAGTGCCAGATTTAGTCTCTAGCGAACAGATATCGCAGTTGCTGCAATGGACGAAAACCAGCATACTTAGAAGTTAATACAAGAGATAGAACAAAGCGAGTCAAAAAACTCTTAGTGGATCTAATGAACATCAAAACGCTCAAATGTTCTCTATAAAACCAATGTATACTTGCTTTCTTGTGTGAGGAAGTTTTTAAGATTGAATTCTTCAAGTTTCTAGATATACAAAATGTTGTTCGCACTATTCCCTCCTATTTTGGATGCATTGACCATAAATTTATTTTAATCTTAAGATATTTGTAGTCATCCACATTTTCTGGCCATCAGGGTTCTTTTTGGGCCACTATAATCAAAAAAGCTGAACGACTACTCGTATTGCATCAGAAATCGTGACTTGCAATGGAAGGGTCCATTTAAGATTGCCTTGATTGAGTGACAAATGCTTGGAGTTGCTCGGATCAACATGTCTCTCTCTTGATCTCACCTTCTTACCTTTTGGTACAGAGAAGCTGGACAAGGTGAAGGTGTGGGACTTACCAGTGTTGAACTGCCTCTATATTGGTATTGGTATTGGGACGTTCCCCTTTGGGTAACCCCCTTGGGTTGTTGGGGCGACTGTAGATAAACCAACCTCTGTATGACAAAATGGAGGGCTTTACAGGTGACTTTTTGGGACGTCCAACTTTGCATAGTTCTTCATTCCTGGCTCTCTAATTGAGAGTGTCCTGATTTGAGCTCTCATTGAGGACTTTTCAATCAACCCATTCATTGACTGATGCTATGGTCACCTGTAGATCTTTCTTCTTGTCACAACCCTTACTAAGGCCAACGAATAAGATCAGAGATGAAGCTGAATGAATCGTCCTCCTTTCTCATGTTTTTATATTAATAATTCGTGAGACTAATTGCTTCACAATGTCACACACAAACCATGTATTTAAATCGCTATTGAGCCTTCTGAGCCATTGAGTGTGGATTCTTGGTAACAACAGGTCCTTTCATCCCTTCAGCATCCCAGATTCTATGTTGAGACGCTACTCTTATGAAGCTTCTAATTTTCGAATAAAAAATGGTGGGCGTTTATATCGTAAGCATTAGAATTGTTGAATCCACCGGTAAGAATATGGTAAGAACATGGTAAATGTTGCACAGAGAAGACCCGACCTAAAAATAAAAAACATGTCCGCTAAACTCTTGTTTTTATCTTTTACCTTAGACTAGAGTTAAACCTCTTACACCTCAGGCATCATTATCTGCTTAACTCTTGATTTTTATGTTTTACTTTAGACAAGTGCTAATGTTCCATTGTAATGACTTTGTTATATCCAATTAAAGCTATTTTTCTGCTATGATTTTTTGTAGGGTCTCGATCAATGGAAATTGCAGTGAAACTTCTGCAACTAATATTGGGGAAATTGCCTGCTGAACTATTAGTTGGTGACTATCAATCAGAGATGTCCAACTTGGTATTCCGGAATCTGCTTTTCTTTTCTCTACATAGGCATTCCTTTTTCTCTCAATTAACTTGTGGACGTTCATTGTATCACAAGTTTCTTGTTTTTTGGTTCAGGTGCCAACTATAGCAAGACAGTTCGCTGTTCTACATAGTCCTCTCAAGTTTGATGCATTGCACGTGCTTGCTACCATTTTATCATCGAAGGGTTTAGTATGTGAATACACGTATTTTTATCTTTATCACCAGCCTATGTTCTCTTGTTTTCAGCAACTTCTTCTTGTAACGAAAGTGACTATTCATACATGATGAATTGATGGTTATCTAATTGCTACTTCTCATATCTAATTGATTTCTACCTTATTTTTCTACTCATTTTAATATTACTGTTTTTATGTTTATTGTTGATGTCAATTCAATTGATAAGTAACGAATCTGGATTGGTCGGATGATTTGTGTTACCTTGTTAAGGATTCAATTACCAAAATATGATGGAGTAAAATGTAATTTAATGCTCACGACATACATTCCAATTGTTTGTATACCTCATGCTATTTTGGTATTTTATTAATGTCCTAAACAGCGGGACAAACCCAAGGAGGATATTCAAAGGAAAAACTCAAATCATATTCACATCACAGATGGCTATTATACACGAGTACCAGGGTCACAAAACAAGCAGACTACCTAACAACTAGGAAACCAATGAACTAGGAAACGAACCAACAAACTAGGAAACGGTCCAACTAAGAACCAAACTCCTAATTATACATTCATTCTCATACTCCCCCTCAAGTTGGTGAATAGGCATTCTCCATTCCTAGCTTTGTTACTGAAATACTGTACTTCAACCCTTAGTAAGCACATCCACAAGTTTGTCATGTATAGACACATAAGGTGTGCAAATCAATCCGCTCTCCAATTTCTACTTGATGAACTATATGTCAATCTTGATATGTTTTGTTTGACCGCATTGTACTGGGTTGTGAACTATGCTAATTGCAAACTTGTTGTCACAATAGAGTCTCATTAGACTTTCCCTGTTAATCTTTAAGTCTTCTTGGACAAGATTCAATCAGAGCCATTGCTTAGAATTCAGTATCTGCCCTTGAACGTACTAGCACATGTTGTTTTCTGCTCCACGCCATGAAATTGCCACCAAGAAAGGTGTTGTGTCCAGAAGTTAATCTCCCCTCAACTACTATCCATGCATAATCAACATGTGTATGCCTCAAGTACTAATCCTCCATTTCTCTTGAACATAATACCTTTTTCTGTTGTCCCTTTGAGATACTGTAGCACTCAGTGAGCTCCTGCAGATGAACTTCTTTTAGGGCTTGCATGAAATGGCTAATCACACTGACTGCATGTGCTATACTTGGACGTGTGACTCAGATAAAAGCATCTTCCTACCAGGTTCTAACACATTTCCCTGTCTACCACAGCATCCACCCCTGCCTTTCCAAATTTGAGCTTCAGATCTATATCTACCACATATTTCCGTATTGGACTACTTGCTAGTTTGTATGCAGTTTTGCCTGTTATGCTAAAAAGATTCATAACATACTTCTGTTGGGAGATTACAGTGCCCTGCCTCAAGTGAGTTACTTCAATCTGAGACAATATTTCATCCTCTCTAATTCCTTGATCTCAAACTCCCAAACCAGACACTGACTTAGATGTTCTCTCTCTTATCCTTATTCCCAGTCACTATTATGTCATCTTCTTGCACTCTGCGATTTTCCGTGGCATTGATATGGTGCCAAATGATGGTGTAAAATCTTCTTTCTAGTATTCTGTGATGTTGCGATAACATTTAATTGATGAGATATTACCACATCATATGCATGGGTGTGTGATTTTATTTCTTATAACTTATAAGGTTAATTTTTTCAATCAAGAAGGGTATCTATGCAACTAACACGTCAGGGATGGCAGTCTACAATTACAGGGATGTACATGAAGATATACAAGAAGAGAGCGTTTGGCTCTTGTTAACGCATAAAGATCATACATGTCTCAGAGTTGTGCAACTATGGGTCTAAACACTTGGCGTATTATTAGGTCAATGTATTGATGGAAATTTCCGGTGGAACATCATGTTGGATTGTATGAACTGTCGTCTTTGCTAATTTAATTGTCAACAACATGTGAAGGAAATGATGTTCATATCATCCTGCCCTGGATGTTGTTCAAGAGATTCTTGTCTCTGTGATGTGTCTATGTTGAGTTTCTTATAGCTTTTGCCAGTTTTAAACTGGATGCATGTCTGGATGGAGTTCCATTTTTTTGACTGACATGATACTCGGTTTCGTGTCTCCGTTCGATTTTTCCATAGATTTACTGTACTTCATAGTGACTATTGCTACTTTTGTCTCTCGTTTTTTTACTTTTAACGTTTATTTTTCTCATTCTATTGCCCATGTGATAATTAGAAGTTGTTATATGTAGGTTTAACTTACCTTTCACGTCGTGTCTCACAGGATATGAAACATGACATGCTGAGGTCATCACATGATAAAATGTGGCCCACTTATGTGCGTATTGGTGTTTTGGCTATTCTACAGAATCGTGTTGGTGAGTTGTGCTTGTATTTTTAGAAGGTTCTGCGGTCGCATATATTTTTAGTTTCAAATTGTGGAGGATCCTTTATTGCAATTCTTCTTGCCTAATGTTACACTGGGAACATAGGACCACGATGCTCATTAAGATTTCAATCATAAATTGTAATCTCCTGTAAACCATACCCCGACCTGGTATGTGGTATCTTCAGAATTTTCAAAAACTTTCAAAGAGGATAAAAGGGTATAATTTCAATACCATAGATTGCTTTCACATGTGTGGTGTTGTCATCCCAACCTGCGTCAGCCCAAGGATTAAAACTTTCCTACGTTGGAGGTATAATCTCTGTTCCCTCCCGTCTACCAGTCTGTTCGGAATGGCTCTTCAATTTTATTCATGAGCGACTGAATCGAGCAACATCAACTTTGATATCAATTGAAATTAGTGTTACAGTATTAGGAGATTAATCATTCATTGATGATCAGCCTCACACAACTGACTGAAAATCACCACTTCATTATTCATCTTGTTCAAACATTTTTCATGCCGAGGAAAAAAACTAGATTTTTATCTCTTGTGTGACTGAGAATTGTAGTTTTCTAGGTAAATCTTTTGGGCTTTTGTAGACTAATGTGATCCAGGAAGTTGAGGGAATAATTTGGATTTGTACAATGTTTGGGAAATGATTCTTGAGAAACGTTTTGGCCTTTTTCAATTTGATATGGGTATAATGTTTGAACAGTCTACAACAGAAAAGTGAGTAGTTAAAAATGTTGCCTTAGATATTATTATTAATTTATATTCCCAAGAGTTTTTACTGCCATTTTCTTCCCCGTCATCTTCTTCCAGTGCACATTAAATAGCTAGAAAAGTCATGAAAGACAATAACAGAAAGAAAATTCATCATTTTCCCCCCTTACTCTCTCCTGATTTAATGCATTTCTGCTGCAAGGAAACAATCAAATCGTACCAATTGCCTCCATTTCTCTTTGATCTAAACTACCCCTGGAAGTGTAGTAGCTGCCATCAATTTCTGCTGGGAGCTGCTGTGATGTCATACTGCGTTCATGGGAATGGCAGAAAGGTGTCTTCTCATGGCAGGGTTTACACTGCCTCATGACAATTCAAGTATGTCAAAGAAAAATGGAAACAATAGAGGGAAAAGTCATTGTTTCCTCCATGTACCTACCCTATTGCACGGATGTCTACCTTTATTTCTAAGAAGTATCCAACCCTTCTGGTCTCCTGTTTTTCCATTATAACAATTCACCCATACAGAGTGCAGCATTCTGCATTGGGAGCTGTGTGATATGCCAGCTTCCTACTTGTGATAACCTGCGAGGGAGTAACCATTCCCACAGGGAATCGCACAACACGTTTGCACCCTGAAACTGTCTTTTTTCGAAACTTGTCACTGCCTCCTTTGTTTTCCTTAGAACAAAAATGTCAAGATAAGTGCGATTGCGCTACCCATCATTTTGATGTTTCGACACAAAGGAATGCCAACCTTCTGCTACTGCTGTTTGCTCCACTAGCCATCTTGAATAAGCCCACTTAATAGCAGGATTAAACTAACTGAATGGAATTTCCTTTCCTGACCCAATGATTCTTGACGTCAGAGGTCAGCATGTAAAGGTGTGACTTCACATTCAAAGCTCTCTGATGAGAAGTATATGTCCAGGCTCTACAAAGACGTAGTTTTGTGTAGGAGGCAAAGGATATATCTCATACAATTTTATGTTTTGCTGTGAAGGCCAATGGATATTGACCCAACTTTCTAATTTTTCAGCTTCTACTGAAAAGCTTCGGGCACTTGTTCTGGCTGAATCAATGATGTCTACTGTTGGTGAAGAGTGGTTGCTGGATCACAATCATTTACCTGATGATCAAAATCCATTTCCAGTTGACAAGTAATCTCTATAAATTTAGTCAATTTTTTCACCCACATGCCCAAAATTCTATGCTTTGACTTTTATTTCTTATTCTAGTTGTTTTCCTTCTTTTCTGCAGGTGTTTGATGCTTATTCTCGAGTCTACAAGGGTTGAAGTGGCAGTTGTTCTCAATGAACTTGCCTACTTGAAGTACGAGGCCTCCAAGAGTTCTTCCACTGAACCAATCGTTGTCAAACAAATGAACCTGGCTCTTTTGTTTTCATTACTAGAGAAGATCATCAGATTAGTATCAAATGCCTGTGAAACTCAAGGTAGAATTCAGCAATGACTTGGTGGTTTTTTGGGTTGGTTGAACTTTATGAAATTTGATGATAATTCTCATAGGCACACTTTCTGATAGAGATTTTCTCTTTTATTGATTTAACCAGATAGATATTCATTTGAAGAACATTTTGCATCGGAAGATGCATAAAGGTTCTTAGGAGCCAGCTTCATACTGACTTGTCAACCTAGTAATTTCATTCCAGAAATGTGATCCAAAGTTTTATGTTCACGGTAGCATCATAAAGGGTCCAAGGAGATAATCTGAAAAGCTCCCATATGCCACCATCAGGCCTTTTGCCACTGTATGGGACTGGTTTATTATCAATCATTTGAATTGAGAAAGGCTGATGTCAAGGAAACCAATCATTTAAATTTGCACCATAGATATGTCAATGAGAATGTAAAAGATTGTTATCCATACATGCAATTTTTTTATGTCAATTTGCACCATACATGCAATTTTTTTATGCACATCTATCCACGCTGGAATTCCATTGGAACTTGCTGATAATCAAGAGATGTTCAGTTTTTTGTGCTATGTATTGTACAAGAGAACAAAGGAATATGTAGTGATGGCAACAAGGTTCACAAATTAACCATTACCAGTTACCAAATTGTATGTATTCTTCGAGGACTCCTCACTTGAAAGTCGTGACTAGAATAATGAGGTCCATCAAGTTATCACTAAGGAATATCCTGTTACTTCACAAGATTGACGAATTAGGTGACAGAAGGTCAACCCTAGGAACTGTATAACTTACTTGATGGCAACCTAGTCACATGGAGTAGCCAGAAAACATGTCCACTGGATCTTGTGCTGCAGTTGAGTGTATGATGATGACCCTCATGCTTGCAGTTTCTGTTCAAGAAATTGGTCTAAAGTCAGAATATCACGTTCTTATCATATCCTAACAGCAAAGGCATCGATATTGTCGACAGTCTTGTACGACATGATAAGACGAAGTAAATAGAGGTAAATAGACTTTTCATCAAGGAAATATTGGCCACAAGAAAAGAATGTGTTACATATGTTAATTCAAGAGATCAAGTTGTCACTCTGCTTACCAAAGGGCAGTTGAGGAACAAATTCGCTGGAGCATTTTGCAGGCTAAACCTAAGAGATTGCTCAGCTTTAGCAAGTTAAGCATAAGAAACATCTAAATCTTATTCAATGAAATCCTAAAAAGATGGCATTATGAGATTCAATGATGTTTCTTTCTTATCTTGAATGTTTTAATACTTCAACAAAGATGTTGCTGTGTCTCTACTTATCTAATTTGTAAAAGCTGTTATCCTTCGACCCTGAAATTTCTGTTCATATTTTCTCATTATGGCAAATCATTGCGTAAAAATTATCCAGGTAGCCCAATAAATGAAAGGACTTGGATGAAAGTGATTGACGGGCTCAATGAGACAACCAGTCTGGTTCTGGACTTCCTACACGATGCACGGGTAAGTAAAATCTGGAGGTTTTGATTTTGCTTCTTACTTATGTGTTCTTAATCACCAAATCTAATCAACTAATCTGAATAAGATGAAACTTTTCAGGATCACGGGGAAAGAAAAGGAGACGATCTTTTAGCTGCAGTACGAATAATTGGAAGGTATATGGGGATATCTACTATTTTATTTTAAAATTCTCCGTGAACCAGTTGCTGTTGGTAATCAATTATCTTCTTGTCATTCCAGATATTATAATATTCTTGTATTGAATCATGTTTTCCTATTTTCTATTTATTGGTGCAATTTGCCTCATATTACCTGTCTTTCTTGCAAATCAATTTTATAACAGTTAGTATCGTTAACTTTAACTGGCAAGTGATCAGATCGGGAGAGGGTAACAGTCTGAGCTTTTTTAAAGAAAAGAAAGAATAACTGCAGACATATATGTGTAGCGAGACGACCCATTTGGCAGATCGGGAGTCAACAGCAGAGTAAAAGGGACAGGGCAGAATGGACCCTGGCCGGCGGCCGGGTTCAAAGCTTAGCCCCAGAGATCTCAGAAGAATCCAGACAGATCCCTTCCTTGCAGCTAGGCTGCTGGAAATACTTGACAACTAATGTCACCATTTTCTGTTCCGTTGGGAGTAAATTTAGCTTCAGGTTGACGGATCTTCATGTCAGCATTTTCCAATGCTTGTAGGTATCTGGCAGAAGCCCCATCGGCATGCCGAGAGAAGATCAAAGACCTATTGGAGTATATACTTTCGATTGAAGGTGGAGAAGAGTCGAGGTATCCTTAACCATCTCTGTGGACGTTTATCTTCTAATGACTTGTATTCATATGAGCTGATTATGTTCAATAATATGCAGCCCCTTTTCTTCTATCCAATTTATGCTTCCAATGCTGTGCCAGTGGACAATGGATATTGACGGATGCAATGTCTTGGCTTCGTTCGGAGGGCATAAAGCTGTAAGTTTGGCTCGTTACAGATTTTTATGCAAGTTTAGACCCCAACCATACATAGAATCCACATGCGTTAGTCCATCTCTCTAGTAATCCCTATGCATTAGTACTAGACAAAAGAAACCCTAGCTACCACTAAATTTCTAGCTTGGTTCTGAGGGTAGAAATGGAGTGAGATCATATCATGGGTGCTTGCTCTCTCTCTCTCTCTCTCTCTCTCTCTAGATATATATATATATATGGATATATAATGGTTTAATGATTCTGTACGACTTGTTCCCACACTGAGGTAGATCAGTTTTTCTATTTTATATTGACTGAGTTGCCTTAGTAAAAAAATAAAAAAAAATTTAAAGAAAAGGGCATTGATGTTGAGCTTTCTCTATGGAATTGTGTGAATCATAATTTAATGTAATTTGGTCTTTTCACCTTTTTGGTTTCAACGCTTTACCCGGCCAGATGAGATATCAATGTACTTTTGTCTGTATATATATATATATATATATATAAACATGAAGGTAATATATCTTCATCTTCTTTCCATCTAAATCAGACTTCTCTGGCTTATTCGGCCCATCCAAGTCAGGCATCCATTCCATTTGGGGTATCATCAGTATTCCCATAAGAACTGAAGATATTGAAGTCAAACATATTCAGAACTGTGCACATCTCTCCCTCACTTATTATCATTGGAATCAAACTTGCCAAATGAGTATCTAGTATGATGCGTTGACCACAGTTCATGAATAAATATTGCCAAAAATGTTCTATGGGATTTTCTTCTTATAAACAGGTTGCAGAATTCCTTGCGAGAGCAATCATGCAGGATCGAAGAACATGCGATGATGATGGTACAATGTTCTTGGCATGTGACGCCATCATGAACGTACTCCTAAATGTGAGCGATCTACGGTTTTCATGATTGACCTTCTTCGACTTTCTTTAACAGCCCAGTGTTCTTTTATGTCTAGAGAGAGAAAATCCAGTCTCAGCTCGACGGATCCCACTTTGTCTGCGTCTTGCAACCCTTGGCATCGTGGGCAGGTATGACAAAAACTGGCTCACACTCTTTGTGGATTCTATAAAAAGAAATAGGTATGAAATAAATGGTTTATCTGAAATCCTCAAGGGGCATCTTGGTAGATCGGCCTGAGATTGATCATATTAGGAGGGTCCACCAAAATAGGCCGATTCTCCGTGGATTTATCGGTCAATCGCTCGAAACCCTCAGACCGATGGTTCAGAGGGCTGCATTGGTGGGTTAAGAGGTCTTGGGTCACTCGATTTGTTCATTCTTCTACATAGATTCTATTAGTCCGCCCTTCCCTCTCCCCTCATTTTGATTCATCTCAGGAGAGCCGACCCTCTGGAAAATCTCCTCCATCCCAGCTTCGTCCCTGATCTTTAATTCTCTCCAGCACTACAGCCCTTCTCTCTCTCTCTCTCTCTCTCTCTCTCTCTCTCTGTCTCTCCATCTATCTCTCTCTATCTATCTATCTATCTTGCTGATGGCTTCCATGAAAATCTGGGTTATTACTTTTCTCCGCGTAGTATAACACTGATTATCAGTTTTCACTTTCAGAACACCAGAAAATTATGGGCAATGAGAACAGTGATTTCATTACACCGGAAGCTATGTAGTTCGTTGGGCTTAGCTAATTTAATTTGGCTTGCTCTACGACGTAAATCCAATTTGGAGGCGACTCGGGCCAACACGGCCCGGGAGAATATAATTAAATTTTTTTTTTAGAATTATTTTCACAGTGCTGGGAATTCATATCGATTACTATTTATATGCCCTCGAAGTAATTATTTTTATGTGCGTCTGATGTAGAGGCGAACAACGAGGACGGATCCGTCGTAATGATGGCGTCGAGCATCTGCTCGCTGGTTCTCGACTTGACGTCCGAGGAAGCCCTCCTGGCTCAGCGCCACGTCGATCGTGCTTCGCTCGAACGGCTTTCCCAACTAGTCGCTAGAAGCTTGAGCCCATCCACGCAGGTCCCAACACCCCTCCCCTGCTTGCAACTCTTCCCTCTCTTATCGGCGACGATGTCCACGTCGACTCACCCCAGGTCATCCTTTTCCCCGTGCCAGCTCGGAGGTGATGACGTCAACAATCACCAGGACCTCCACCAAATCGTCTCCTCTGGTCCGCCTCTCTCTCTCTCTCTCTCTCTCTCTCTCATCCGCCTCTTTTTGGAATGTGGCCCATTTTTCTCTATATTTCTATTTATAGGTTACCTACGGTGGGGCGCCCGCTTCCCGACGCTGAGAAGGCTTATCGAAGGGTCTCGGACTGGCACGCTCTAACGGAGGGGGGAGGGGGGCTTTCTTCTATCCAACACAACAGCCGATGATGCCGGTTAATTTAAAGATTTTCTTCCTCTGGCCCTCTGACGGCTATGGGCCCCACCGTCTCTTCGTTACTACTCACGATCTCGTGCCGTCGGACGACTCGACCGGGCCTTCCGCCGCCTCCACGCGCGCCAGCAGGCCCTCGAGCTGCGGAGGTACATCAAATGTGAGATGGGGCCCACATTCGCACGTCATCCCAGTGCTGTATAAGAAGAGGCTATGAAGATGAAGATGGGCCGGCCCACTAGAGACCGGCATCAGCGATGGCTCGGTGGGACGGCGAAAATGGAGAGGACGAAGGAGAGAGTTACCTGCTCCTCCAGGTCGCGTATCCTCTGCTCCCTGGACCTCACGGCTGCTTGCTCCCTGAGAGGAATCGATCAGTCCGCGCCGTCAGTGGAGGGACTCTGAGAAATCTTACCAGCGAATGAACATACGAGCTGAAAGTCAACTCTTCAGATTCTTTGACTACTCAACCGAGCCCGTCACGAAGCCATAAAGAAAGTTTTAAAATGGCACGGAGGGCTCACTAGATCTCAGGGAATTGCCAAGAACGGAATTGTTTCTGCTTGGCATCTGCAACTACCCCCTAACTCGGCAAAATTCAACGATCTTCTCCGGGTGCTAGGAGAGAGAGGCTGGTGACGAGTCATACCGACCCCCCTAATGGATGCGGTTTCGACGATGATGTCAGGCATGCTATGCCCGTCGAAACCAGTCATGGTGCTCTGATGGGTAATGTTGACTTTGACGGATGTTCCCCAGTCAAAGTCTCTACTGATGATGACCCTCAGCCCCAATGTCAACGAGGAAATATCAATAGATTAATATCCTGAGGGCGTGGGCGTGTACCTCTCTTCGGCTTCCAGAATCCTCGCTTTCCACACCTCCTGGTTTTTCACCAGATTCTCGTTGATCTACAAAGAAAAAATGAAATGAACGATTTCAAAAGATCGATGGAGGCCAAACCCCATATATTCCCCAAAGAGCTAAACGAGAGGACAGAAAACCAACTCGTTGACATCCAAAAACATGTCAACGGATTTCTCGACAGAATTTCAGATTAATGGGTCGGTTCAATCTAATCGAGACAGTTCGTCATTTCAAAACAGCAGCAGAAGAGGTGCATCGCAAAGAAGGGATTCAACCTGGCAATTTCACATCCAGAGAAATTAAATTATGATCGCAATCATATTAGATCGCGCGCATGAATTTCTGAATAATTGCAGACGAAAATATGATCTGGGATCGATCTGAAGAAGAAGACCAGAAGAGAAACTAAACCAGCACCAACCTCGTCAAGAAATAACTTCTCTTGCGCGCATCTATCCAGCTTGATCTGCACTTTCTGCAGCTTATGATTCAGAGCTTTATCAATGGATTCAGAGATCTCCTTCTCAGTTTCCTGGCGGACTTCCAGAAGTACTGATTCAAAATACTGCCATGAATTTTCATGGCGTTAGTACGCGTGAATCTCCATGAAAAGCTCAACAGTTGACTATTTATCTAGAGGGGAAAACCATGGAGAAAGATGAACAGGATCATACTTTTCTCTGGTTCTCCAGTTGAGTGGTGAGAAGCAGGTTGTATTCCTCAAAGATCTTCAACAGGCAGAGAGGTCAGTGAGTATGAATGGAACTAGTTAGATATGAAATATAGCGGACTATACGAAGAATGCGTACAGCTTCTATTTTACTGCTGAAAAGAGCTTCAGAGTCAGCGCCGCCTTCACAAATCTCACATGTATCGGCCACATGTCCGCAGTCGAACTCCACCAGCTTCCCGTCGGTCTTTGACTGGATTAATCGATGGACATAATTGTCCCCGACATAATCCCAGACTCTCTGCGTCTCAAGCTCGAGTGAGTAACAGTGCTGTGTTTCTTTCCAATGCTTGATCGCATGGCCCTCTCTGTACCTGTGAAGTAAGGTACAAGCCAATGAAGACTGCTGACTCGTCTCCGTAGAGAGAAAGAACAGGGCAAACAAGCATGGGACTACCTTCCACATCCAACAAAGCCACAGGTAACACACATCCAAAGATTTTCAGTGGTCTCACAGACCGAGCAAGTAGACTTTTCTGGCTGTTGTTGGCAGTACCTGCAAACCTGAAGGTGGCGAATCAGAAAGCTGCAGAAAACATTCCTCATAAAACATGAACAGTTGTGAACTGACAGAAATAACAGGGAAGAAGAAGATAAGGCAGTAGACTGTCAACACTGTTTTGGGCCCCACTCACCATAGTTTTCAAGTCAACAAGAATACTTGTTCCACTCACTAAAACATGTGATACGAACGCCATTCACAGCCTCATTCAGCTAAATGACGTCTTTTATTTCTAATGTTATTATTTAATGAATAAATTATAATTTATCTACAACGTCTGTGATTATCAGTTTTCAGAATTTTTTACGTGCACATAAAATTTAAAAAAACATATTATTAGAAAAAGCATCACCCAAGTGCCCCACCGCTTGCCAAGTTAGTAAGGCAAAAGGCCACGACCTTGGTCATCTTTAAACCTAGATCCTTCATCCAGACTCTAAATCTGGAGAAACAGCACACAAAATCATACAGTTCATATCAGAGACTTGAAATGAGCCATTTCTTTGAGGCACAAGTAGTAATCCAGAACTTCCAAAATAAGGTCAATCATTTATTTCATAGTTAAAACAGTTTTTGAGGCCAAAATCCAAAGCGTTTGGACTTCTGATTAGTATCCCATGGAAAAACTTGACTGATCACAAGCTAATTGCAAAAAAAAAAAGTTGATCCACGTCAGAAAGAGAATCTATAATCGTCAACAATCCACAGAAGAACACCAGTCATCTTGATACAATGAGTGGAATAAAACCAAGTGAAAGCAGGTCGACGAAGCATCTGTCATCTTGATTAGATCTCCCTCTTAATTATTCAGTCTCTCATCGCCAAAGACCTAGGCTCTCAGCTAAAAACTCTGTTTTAGTACAAATAAACTACAGAATTTTCAATTTTTTATTCAGTTAAGAAACTTTTAGCCTTTTTTTCCGTCCAACATCTTGCTTTCTTCGACAGTTTGGTTTGTAACTTTGTAGAGGATCAATGCAGCCGCTCATCCTTTCCCGGGGATCATTTCTTTGTGGGCCCAAAGAAAAAATGTGTTTTCCTTTCCTGGGAATCCTTCAACTATGAGCGTACAGTGGCGAATATTCTTTTCATTCTTTATCCCTGAGCTCTATTCAACACAAACTGTCTTCGTTTATGCCAACCCAGTCAAAACTAGGACAACTATCACAGCAGACCTCACAAAATGGAAACTGCAAAAAACACTTCAGAGCTACAGAAACGCTTACCGGACAAGAAGAATCTGTCCAATTCGATATACAAGAACAGTGGAAAGAATGATTACAAATCGTTGTGAGGATTCCACCAGTATCTTGGTCTAGCCTCTCTGTACAAATGTGTGGAAAAGAATGATGGGAATTAATTAGAGCACAGGTTCAAAAAAGTTAGAACATCTTTTTAACTCAGGCTGGTAAAAGCTTAGTTTATCTAAAAAACCATAGCATGCAAAAAGCTTAAGGAGAAAAATCATGCGCATAGAGAATGTATTATGCTGTCTATTTATGGTCAGCCTGGAAAAATCCAATCACATAAACAGCCATTTAAGATGGGCTACCAACCTAATCTTCGTCGTGTCAAGTCCCAGTATAAGCTTTACTGAAAATATGTCAGATCATCAACGAACCCAGCCCTAAAAAATAAGAATCTCTTTAAAATTTCTGCTTCAAATGCTTGCCTGTGGTAAATCATTTTGAGTCAGTCCCCATTATCTCATTGAACAAGTCTGCAACTCTCTCCAAAAGTGTACCACCCCCTCTCGTCCAGGTATCTCTGTGAAAATACCATCCATTATGTCTTACTCATCTGCTTCAATATCTAAGCTCCCGCACTCCCCACCCTGCACCTAAATTCTTTAAGAGCACAACAAGGTATAATCATTCAGATTTCACCAAGCTATTATATTTAAATGTAAAACGTAGTTTGTTCAGCTGCCTTAGTGATCTTAGAGCTCTTCATCTCAGCAAATCCTCTGGATGTCACTGCCCATCATCTCCCACAATTTGAATCTGTATCGACCAGTTGAATCATTAAAACCGGTTTCAGAACAAATCTAGATTTAGGATTCATAAAGAACTTCCAATGCAACTAAAATGAATTAATATGAACCCGAACATAGATTCGAAATCATGTATAAATTCAATGTCACACACATCCATCATACTCGTAATATACTTATTTCTATTGACTCTATGGTTGCCAAACATTGACCATCACCGGCACCACTACTTCCGAAAACGTTGACTCTCTAGAACAAGGAATTGTAGATTTTAAAAAACCAATTTTCCACTTTTTGACGGCCCCAGTCCACCCCTGGGAAACCTAAGATATTAACTCTGATCTCCAGTAAAAATGAAGCATTTATATCCAACGCCAAAAAAAACAACCATATATTTTTCATGATTAGCCTCATTTATAAACACAGGACATAATATCATCCAAACGTCCTGAAAAAGTTTTCCTTTAGTTTTCATCATCACCACGTCTCCAGTCAACCATGTAAGGGCCAGGGGGTCATCAAACGTCCTCCAGTTGCGGAACCACTGATCAAGAATTAATATCTGCATAAGAACGAATAAATTCTGGGTACCACGCACTGACGCTGCTATGCCAGGGTGCACAAAAGATGGGCAGAGTAGAACATAAAGTGGACGACCATAAACTCCTGCTTTACATCCACCATAATTCAGGGGAAAATAGATTGATCCTGCTGAAGTTGCAATAATAGCTGAGCTCAATAAGTCTCTACACATTCTAAATCAGTCAAGTAGGTCTTCGAGTCTCAAGGAGATAATACAATGTACTGTAGCATCTTGCCGTAAGAAAAAAAATTGACTTGCTTCTTTATTTCGACCTCTCATTTGCCTAGAGTTACCCAGAATTATCCCCTATTTATTTACCGTAATTGCAGTAAAACTAAGATATGGAAGCCTATGGCAACGATGGCATAAAGAAGAAAGAGATTCTGAGTCGTAATCTGTCAACTAACCAAGGCAGACTGGACAAGTAGCCTGCTCCGCAGAGATAGTTGAGCTCTGTGCATGTTCAATCGACCCTGTATATTGTACGTCAACTGTATAAAGGATGTGGCAAACATCTGCCTGTTACAGATCATTGCAAAATATAATATTAATTCAGATCATTTGGCAAGCATTTAGAGAAATCACAAAAAGTAAACGACAAACCTCTAAAGAAGAAAAATGTTTCCCGTTGAAATGGTGATAAAAATCATCGGCGGATGTCTGGTTGTCAAACCTCATCAAAACGCCGTACCGATCTTCAGCTCCGTCGTTTCTGCATACAAATTCAGATCCGTCACTCCAGTGCAGACACAATTTGGTTACCAGAAGCCGAGGCAGAGCCAATCGTAGGAGGAAGACATTATAAGAAAATTAAAGGTCTCCGGTGAATACTACCTGACGACTCGCATCTCGAGGACGTGTTCAATGAAGGAACCGCAGAACTGGCAGAAATCGGCATAGGTCATGTGATTCGGAACGTCCAAAACATAAACGAGCGGTTTCCTCCTGATCTGTCAACACAACGGAGGACATTAGGTCGCGTCATTGTTACAACCAAATCGTACTTACGAATTGAAACAGGGAAAAGATTATACAGGGAGACCGGAAGGCGAGGAGGTTTCTTCAGGATATAGGTGTACGATACCCCTGGTTTCTTCAATTCTAGGGTTCCCTGAAGAGAAGGGGACGGTCCGGGTGAGTCCGGAGCCCGACGCCAGGCTATTCCCTGCGGAGACCTCCGAAGGACATGGCTGGGAGGGCCCTTCCTGCACCACGGCGACCCCCGTGGAGGAGACGGACATTGACAGCTACGTCAACTTCTCTTCCCTCAACACGGGGGGGGGTTCGGTCTGCAGTTCCTTCTGTCGGGGATGACCGACCTTATAAATCTGCATGATTCTTTTACTTTCCGCCATGACAACTAATATAATTACATTTTTACTCAAAAAATTACACACTTTACTCCCCACTTTCTTCACAAGAAGAAATTAGTTATAGATTCCATAAAAAATGAGTGACATATTTAGAAAATTATAAATGATTTTACGAGAAAATTTTACAACTAATTGAAAATATTATCAAATCTAATCGTATGGAGTCATTGTCACATTGACTTAGATATTAATAGTTCTTTTCAAAAGCTGTATGTATGTTTCAATCAATGCAAACTTGGTGTTCTAATGAGTTGCAGACTAGACTATATTAATGACAGCCACAACTATATATTGGACTCCCTTTTCCATTGTTGATGATAAATCAAGTGAGAGTTGAAATCCATTTTTTAAAAAAATATAGTCTTAAATAAATAATGTTATTGGTTCTACAACCATATCAATTTTTTAAAACTTTTTGATAAGTTGTTCTTTCTATTTTCCCATGAGATGATTAATATAGTAAATATGTATCTTATGTACATCATTCATCTTTGAATGTCAACTGAAATAAACGTGCATCCGCATGCTTGATGTAAGAAAGTGGCTACTAGGCTTCAAAGAACAATTTTATATTAGGCATCAATTTAGATGTATTTTTTAAATGGCATTAAATTATCAATAATCAAATTACAATGTTCAATATATTTCTTAAATATTTAAAGTATTTATCCTATATATGATTGATAGCTCTCATTAAAAAGGAATCATCAAACTTCACACAAAATTTAAGCAATTAATGTTGTGAAGAGGTGATTTTTTTCTATTAATGTTAAAATATATGTAAGAAATGACTGAATGGTTGAGAGAGCATCTACCATAATTGAAAGGTGAGTGGAGGGGTTCCCCTTGTGACATGCAACTTACATAATACAACATTATTTTATATTTTTAAGAAATAATGATGCCCTAGATTATGGTATAATCATGAAATATTATTTTTCATCAACATGCAAGGGTTTGACATTATTAACTTTATTGATGATACCTTGAAACATATCATGTGAGCATTGCACTCCTTCTAGATGACTAATTAAAGAGTCCTCAACTTTAGGATTTATTACTAAACGCTCCACATGATGAGCAACTTATAGAAAGTCCAAAGAAGAAGAGATTATGAGATTGGTATGAAAAGTCAAATATAAAAAGCTTTGAATCAATGTAAAAGGTATGGTGAGCTTTGACATTATTGCTTGATACATAAGAATCTATTAAAAGAAATATATGATGGATAATATCCATCATTATAGTGATGGATAATACATAGTTGGTGAGTTTTAACTATGTTAGTGATGTCAACAAGCATGTGAATTATATCTAAAGGCTATCAATTATTTTCTTTTTCTCTATGACCTCAAGGTAGAAGGAAGTCAAACTATATTACATTTTGGGCTCCAATATTATTTCAAAAATCATCAAGTTGTCTCATAGAATCAGTACAATTAATTTGATAATTGATTGAGGGAAGTAATTAGCTGTAATCATGAGGTTAAAGTGTCTTTCTTAGTTATAAAGTCATATAACATTGAACAAATTAAGTCTCCTCCATCAGCTTAACTTCCAATGTGGGGAATAACATTCAAAGTTTGAGTAGCTCTTTCTCTTTCAAATGAAGTCTCTGTCATGAGCCCTTTCTCTTTTATGTTATGGACAAAAAGGCCCTTTATCCACATCTTATTAGACAATAATGATCATCTCAAGAACTAGTTGCATGTGCCCAAAAGTTCATGGGAACATACATATTGACCTTGTGAAATTCATAATAATTTGAAAACATAATGTTAACATACCATTTTGTGCATAATTTATATCTTCAAATGAACTTTATATGAATCATTTTAGTCATTTGGCCTAGAAATATGAATCATTTTACCCCTAAGAAAATTTCAACATATTTAATCCCTTGATTTAATCCATGCCAGGTCACATTTATAATAATAGAAAATTATCATGCATAGATTACCAAGTTACCTTTTGTCATCGTCAAAAATTTTGGAGCTCTTCTAAACCAACAGAGAGTTTGATGATTATTAATAATATAAACTCCCATGACCTTTTATGCATTTATGTTAACATAATTTTCTAAAAAAATCCAATATAATTGGTAAAATCATCTTTTAATAATGTTTTAGATGATATCAAGAAAATATTAAATCGGAAGTTTATATGGTAGCTAAAGTGAACTTCATAAGAAGGGAGGATGGGTTTGAAGTTAGGAGTTTATGGATAATTAGCTAAGTTTATAGGATCTTAGTATGAAAAGAACATTTATGCATTTCCTTTTTTATTTTAGTTGACTTAGCTAGTATTATTGTATATATTAATCTCATGCATAAACCACGCATGTTCTTATTATGGCTTTGTAAACTGCTGGAGAACCTCTTTTTTTGCATTTTTATTATAAGTATAAATAGAATATATAATATTAAAATATATTTTAGGACCCATGTTGAAAAAGAAAACAAAAAAAGGATACATTGACTCTATCATCCAAGATTTCATTTGCTTAAGACAAGAATGGTTTACGAGTCAAACCCAGCTCTCCGCCCACTAGCATTCCCGTGCATTGGCATTGTCCCAGCTGGGAGCTCACCCACTTTGACCAGCTCCCTCTCCCCAGCGACGGCCACCGGAGGCGATCGTCTTGGCTCATATTCTCCGCCATGCCGGAACCACCGTGATCAGGTCGCTGCGCAACGATGGAAACCCTCCCGCAGTCGACTGCGTCCCCCAAGAGAAGCCATCTCCCCCACCAGATCTGCGTCCTCCTGCTCACTTTCTCCGCGTACGCCTCTTTCCATGCCTCCCGCAAGCCCCCCAGCATCGTGAAGAGCGCCCTAGGATCTGAGATATCGCCGGTCGAGGGGTCTAATTCCACCGGCCACGGCTGGCCTCCGTTCGATGGGCCCCGGGGGACGCACCGCCTGGGAGAGCTCGACCTCGCGTTCCTCGCCTCCTACTCCATCGGGATGTACTTCGCAGGCCACGTCGGGGACCGGATCGATCTCCGCCGATTTCTCTCCTTCGGGATGGTCGCGAGTGGGATCACCACCATCGCCTTCGGGATGGGCTACTGGTGGAAGATCCACAGGTTTGGTTTCTTCCTGGCTGTTCAGGTCGTCAGCGGTGTTTTCCAGTCGATTGGATGGCCGTGCGTCGTGGCTGTGGTGGGGAACTGGTTCGGCAAATCGAAGAGAGGCCTCATAATGGGGATCTGGAACTCGCATACTTCCGTGGGGAACATCGTGGGGTCGGTGACCGCCTCGGCGGTGCTGGAATATGGTTGGGGGTGGTCGTTCTTGCTTCCGGGCTGTCTAATCGTGGTGGTAGGGTTTCTCGTCCTCGCATTCCTGGTCGTCAGCCCAAAGGATTTAGGGTATGAACCTGCTGCGCCCATGGAGGTAGAGATGAGCGGAAGCAGCGTTATCAATGGATCTGCAGAAAATATGGAGGGCGTGCAGCTGGAGGAAGCCAGTCTCCTAACCCCGAGACAGGATCCAGATTCAGCTTCTGCCATCGGTTTCCTGGAGGCATGGAGGTTGCCCGGGGTGGCGCCATACGCTTTCGCTCTCTTCTTCTCCAAACTGGTGGCGTACACGTTCCTCTACTGGTTGCCATTCTACATACGAAATACTGGTACGTGATCTCTGCACAGAGGATCTTCTGTTCCTCTTGATAGCACACAATCCCGTAGAACAGCGGTGGATTGTAGCTGTATTTTTTTCTTTTTTCCCTGTTCCCAATTCCTTTTACCCTTTTCTTCCGTGCATCTCTAGAACCCTATCTATTTCAGTAATTTCCAACAATTTTCTGATCAAAAGGAACTGGAATCCTGAAGTTCCCATTACCTAGAACCTCAGATTACATCAAACTTACCATTTCTATTGCTGTTATCTTCTATATTTCGATTTCAATCAAAGTGTGGTACTGCTCTGTAGTAAGATCTAATTCTTCAAGCATCTCAAATTGGTTTCTTACATTATGTTTAGAGCAATCCTGTAGAACACCATTGGACTATTGCTGTTTATTTTTTCTCCTATTCCCAAATCCTTTTAACCTCTTCTTGCATCCATCTCAAGAACCCTATCTATTTCAGTAATTTGCTGATCAAATGGAACTGGAATCTGGGACCCTCAGATTACATCAAACTTACCATTTTTGCTGCTGTTATCTTTCCATATTTGGATTTAAATCAAAAGTGGTGGTGCTCTGTAATAATTCTGCAGGCATCTCAAATGGGTTTCTTACATCATGTGGCAATGTGAGAGTGGAACAGCTTCCTATGAATATAATGGAAGGGGAGTAGCCCCTGAGGATAAGATGATCTGTCGAATTTATATGTGATCGAATTTTACATCAGATACATATAAGTTGGATCACATTCCTTGAAAATATTAGCAAAATTAAGCGTGTTTCCATTATTTTACTCGATTTTTTTTTATATTTAAGTAGGAATCAGTGTGATCTTCTGACCCTAAACTGACCGTTTTATTGGAATCTCTTGAAGCCGTCGCCGGAAGGCACCTGTCGAACAAGACGGCGGGAATCCTCTCGACAATCTTCGACATCGGAGGAGTCTTCGGCGGAATCTCAGCCGGGTACATATCCGACAAGATGGGAGCTCATGCGGTCACTTCGCTCATCTTCCTGTTTCTATCGATCCCAACCCTAATTTTTTACCGGGTATTTGGGAGCGTCTCAGGGTTGCTGAACATCACATTGATGTTCCTCTCTGGCTTCTTTGTGAATGGCCCGTACTCCCTCATCACCACGGCCGTCGCCACAGACCTCGCCACGCAGGACTTGATCAAAGGAGACTCCAGGGCTTTGGCCACCGTGACGGCCATTATTGACGGCACGGGCTCTGTGGGAGCAGCTCTCGGCCCTCTGCTCACAGGTTATATTTCATCGAGGGGGTGGAACAGCGTGTTCGTCATGCTCATCCTTGCAACCTCCCTGGCCAGCATGTTCTTGATCCACATTGCAAAAGCTGAGATTGCTAGAAAGTAGGCCCGCGCTAGAAGCTGTACACAATCTGGACAGTATCTCATTTTTAATATATATATAAAAATTGATTTTTTTACATTTTTCTTTGAAAACTAGTCAGATTCTTTTATCAGAAATATTATTTTTATTTTTATGATCCTGGGCACCGTGCTTTCGAGATCAATCAGATTCTCTGGCAGAGATCTGCCAGAACTTGGGCATTGTTTCTTCGAAATTAAGCAAATTCTCTGTCAAGAACGTTGTTCTTCCCACTCGCTCTCCAGCTCGTGATCAAGACCATGTTCATTTTTCTTTCGAAATTAATCAGACTCTCTGCCAAAGATCTTGTTCTTGCCATTTTCCACTCCATTACCCTGGGATGCCCTGAGGCTCCTGAGGATGTCATCACCCTTCGAGAATCAGTACATATCTCAGCCACTTGAACCCGGAAGACAGAGGGAGCCTCTTCCGGCTCAAGGGGCTTGGATATGCCCGTCCCAGGTCCATTGAAGCCCTTTGAGAGTGCAAGCAGACTAGACCAGACCCGATCAGCCGAGGATCCGAAGAAATACCGGTCCGTTAAGAGGCGCCCCTTGTGAAGGGCTAAATTGGACTCTTTTGGGCCCGAGATGTTTAGCCCATTAAAGATCCCCATCTCCTTGGAGGCTGTCAAGAAATCGACCGTCTGGATTCACTCGGGCTTTGGGGGGTGTCCGCTCATCTTCGTCGGATCTGGGTCAAGGATGGTGTTCAGCCGTGAAGTCGTCTCTCTCTCTCTCTCTCTCTCTCTCTCTCTCCCCGTGGATGGCCCCGATGTGTGAATGTTGATTTTCGGTCACTAGCTTCATTCGGTGAGCTTTAAGATTCGCTGACTTATCAACGTAGAAGGAGAAAGATAACTCTCCTCAAGTCAACGCAAAGCCAACGAAAAATTGCGCAGAAGTGTGTACAATAAACCGAGATACATACGCATTACTAATCACAGTACAAATGGTTGGATCGACCACGTTTTTGGTTTTCGATCCCACCCCCCCTGTCGTTGACTTCTCCGGACGCCAGTTAACGACGCAGGGAACCAACCGACACGTGCCCAATCTTCACCAGCGTCTCATCAATTCTATGGATCTAGAAAGCGCTGGTCAACGTCATCTAACCTGACATTAATGTTAAGTCCTCAGACATCCTACTCTTTGTCGATCGTTGTTAATAATTCCTCTCACAGATGCAGCCCACGTAATCAAAACTCTGCGTTTAGGACCGTAAACAGATGGGTGAGATGAGATGATCGTGGCCACCATTTAAGATGACCCCATTGACCTTTTTCTCCGGCACCTGCCGATCGGCATGGAGGCAGGGGCCCTCGTCAACCCGACAAGGCCAGCGCTACCGTGTCTCCCTGCCGGAACCTTCTCCGGTGGGAGCGGCAGCCGGCGAACAAGATTCCGAATTCCCCGGCCACCGCCGGCCGCCGGCCGGTGTTCTACACGACAACGGCAGGTCCGCCTCGAACTGCAAGGCGACGGCCGGGGAGCATCTATAATGCGCGGAAGATGGTTGATAAAATGAGGAATCTAATCGAAGTTGGACTGATTCCCCCCAAACTGTTGACATCATCCACATGCCATGCACGTCCACCCATACCGCCTTGCCCTGTGGACCAAACCAACTAGAGTTAGAGAGATGGAGAGAGAGAGAGAGAGAGAGAGAGAAGGAGAGTTGTGAAGATCTTCTTGCAGTTAATGCATGGAGACAGGATCTGCTGAGTAGTTTCTCTCAGAGAACATTAATGAATGCGCGAACGCTGTTCTTCGTCCTCAAGAAACCAGATGAGTCCATCGGCCCTCGAGGAAGCTATCTCCACTTGCCATTAACGAGGAGACCGAGAGAAGATTAGTGAGACTGAAAGTTGAACGAAGGGGTGACCCAAGAGTGGCCAAGGTACACCGGGTGGAAAGAACCTCCAAGAAATCCAATAGAATATGCGTAGAGAGAACCGCCATTATAGATCTACAGACACATTCCTCGACACATTTATTGTTTAGTAGGGCTGAAAAGTCCGCCTCAGGCATGTGGGTATTTAATGGCGTGGTAGACGGGCTAGAAGGCACCCCCGCCGGCCGGCCAGTATTATCCTCCTCTTCTCCCTCTCTTCTCTTCTCTTCTCTTCTTTCTCAGGATGAAGACCACCGCACCAGTAGCACTCCTCCTGCTGACGCTCCTACTAGCCGCCGGCGCAGCCAAAGGTACCCTTGCGGTGGAATCTCCTCGTTCTTCTATATTGGACGTTATAACGATATGATGTCAGCTGTTCTCTCTCATCTGTAGGCATTCGTAGGGGAGGAGGGACCTCAGCCGTGTTACAGAGAAACGTCCAGGTGGGTCTCCGGTTTCCGCCATTCTTCCCTCTGAAGATGGGAGCTCTTGATAGATAAGAGCGCGAGTTTTTTTTTATCGCAGGAGGAGAGAGAAAGCCCAGCGGGAAGAGATGAACCCTGGGAGCCGGAGAAGAAGAGGATGATGGCCGTGCCAGAAGGGAGAGGAGCACACGAGGATCTGCCGGTCTTCAATGAAGACTACTACGGCCCCAGGAACCACAACCCTAAGCACCATTAAACCCTCCGCGGACAAGACACCAGACCAATCTCACGTGATCACCATAGCCGTTGTCTTCACGGGCATTCAAGCCACTCACTATAAGTTGCAGTGGCCGGACGCGCCTGCTTGAGTTCTTCGTCTTTCTTCTTCCTTCTTTCTGTTCTTCTCCTTCTTCGTGTTTGTGTGTCTCCGAGATTTCTCACCAACGATGAGGATGACGACGGAGAAGTTGGCTGATTTAAACCCTAGCCGGATGCACTGGCCGCTGTGTATAATTCGGTGGAGACCCGAGAAGTTGGCTAATTACCAGGGGGTCACCTTGTAGATTACTAAATGAAGTAGTGTTCTAAGTCAGTCATCGATTATATCTACAACTGGGGCGTGTACTCGGTAAAAAAACGAACAGGTGTTTGAGGGTTTAGGTGGTCCATCTCCTGTCTGAAGGGTAGGGTTTGTTAAGGGCCCGACCCCGCACCACCGACATTAAAGACTCCATTTTTACCTACCCACCGAATCATGATCGACTCATATGACGGCTCTACTGCTGCAAATCGTAAAACTACAAGACCCAGATTTGGAAAGTTATTCAGGCTCGAACCCAAGTATCAACTCTTTCGAAGGTCCACCTTGGCTCCCATGGGAGGAGAATCCAATTGTTTTGCCTGTAATTTTATCTGCCGTCTCGACGGCATCCTTCTTCCTCTCCGGCGTGGTTTCACGAGAAGCAAGGGCCTGCAGGAGGAGGACGACGGTGGCTAGGGAGGAGGAAACCGAGGGCCTCTCGGCGAATCCCCCCTCCCAACATTTTTCCCTCAGACCCGGCTAGGTGACCAGATTCCTCCCAAGAATGTGGCGCCTTGTTCGCGGAAGACAGCTAAAGTCTGAAGACGCCATACGCCAAATGCTTCCCAAGAATGTGCACGCATATATTATATTATCTCATATATACGGATCAACTAGAGAGAGAGGGAGAGAGACAGCGCTGCAGAAAATGCTGCAGTTTTTGGGGAGCCATGCCTTATTCTGTTGACGCCTTATAATCGTCTACAGTCGATATTTTACTGTCCCCGTATCCCCATGATTGAGCAGGAGGCGGGCTTCCTGCTTCGGCGGGACACCGGTTTTTGATGTTTCTGAGGATAAGGGTTGTCTCGAGCGAGAGGGGTAGAGAGAGATAAGGGTTGTCTCGAGCAGCTTGGCTCCATGTGGAGGAAGGAAGACAGCTCATGCGGCCGGCAATCGGAAGCCTCGCGTTATGGGCTCCAAGCGGAGCTCCTCCGGAGGAGGGACGCTGGGGGGCTTTCATTGCGGACGATGGGCGGTCGCGGTCATTAGTGGTGGCGAGGGAGGGAGAGAGGGAGGGAGGGAGGGAGGGCGAGGTTCCGCTGTGAAGGAACGGGCCGGCCTGCCGGTGGTGGTGGGGACGGGGTTTCCCCGCGGCGGCGACCGCGGCCGAGCTGATGCTGATCTTGGGCATTCGCGTTAGAAAGGACCACGTCGAAAACACTGCCGGAGGAGGAACTCCTCAGAGAGAGAGAGAGAGAGAGAGAGAAATAGATAGATAGATAGAGAGAGAGAGAGAAATAGATAGATAGATAGATAGATAGATAGAGAGAGAGAGAAAGAGAGAGAGAGAGAGAGAGAGAGATAGATAGATAGATAGATAGATAGATAGATAGATATATAGATATATAGATAGATAGATATATAGATATATAGATAGATAGAGAGAGAGAGAGTACGGTCCGCTAGACCTCGGTCTAGTCCAGCAATCCTTCTAACTCGCTGGAACTGGGTCGACGGTGTTAATGGGCTTAAGTGGGCCATTTATTTTTAGTTTCAGAATTCATCGCTAGCAGAGAAACTTTAAGTTTGATGGGCTTTTACGAAATATGAGCCATGAAGGGCGAAATAATACCCGAGGCCTAAGGCCAGAAAGTGTCTGGCCAGTCAATAGACTCAGGTGATGATGCCTTTTGAAGCATGTTCAAAGATTTTCTACAAAGCTGAAAGGTACTTTTCTCGTTAACTTATATAGCTTTAGTTATATTTTTTATTTTATTTTTTATATATAGCTGAAAATTTGAGGAGAAGATATGTATATTGACATTTCTCTACCATATTTTTTATCAATTAAAAGTATTATGAATGCTAATATATATGTTAAAATATGTTGAACTTAATCAAACCTGCATAAGGCAACAGAAACTCTATTCATTGACATGACAGATGAAAACATAATATGATATATTAGGGGAATATTGACAAGAGAGCAAACATTGGCCTAAAATAGTAGTAATAATAATATTTTATTTATCGACATTACCTTAAAAAATTAAATTAGAATGAAAATTATTAATTATATTTCATACAAAATGTTGTATTTTTACGGACATAATTGATTTTTAAAAAAAAATAATACTTCATTTTCATGGTGATAGCCTATTAAGCTTGGGCAGGTGGCATCCATGCTTCTCCACCAACTCCCTTCTCTCTCTCTCTCTCTCTCTCTAGTTCGGAAAAATGGCGTTGTTCAAAATGGGTCTGGCCCAAAAACGAGTTTTTGGGCCTTTTTTTCCCCGATCCCAAGCTGGGAGGTCTGCGAGAAGCTGGCCTGATCCTGTCCGTCCATAGTGGGTGCATTTTCGAAGGATAGCAAGTAAATAAACCAGTATTTTATTAAGTAAAACAAGAAAGCCTGACGAACAATCCGGCCGCACGTGCATCCGGTCAGACGTCGCCGCAGCTCGGTTTGTTCCTGGCCGTCAGAAGGTAGTAAAAACTCTCTTCTTTTTATCTATGCGCACGTGCGGCTGCGTGAGAAGGCAGAAAAGAAGTACACGCTAGCAGAGGTAGCTGCTGCGGCTCTGCCTCATCAGCAGAGAATGCTCTTCTGATCCTGCGAACCCCCCCAACTTGGGGCACACCGGATCAACCGTTCTGATCGAGTTTGACTTTCGATCACGATCACTCCTTTGACCTTCCATGTTTGGACTACTCCATACCAAGCTGATTGACAATGGGATGATCCAAGTCTGCTGGGGCTTGTTCCACGGCACCTGATGCCTGATCAGATTACACCTGCTAGAAGGCATGATTTTTACTTGGTATGATATTTTATTAAATTAACCAGTTTAAGCAGATATCATTGATTTTTTATATGGATTAATATATTTCACGAAAAAATAGGAATTTGGACCATTGTTTTTGAACCCAGATCATATATGATCTTATAACATATTTGCGACATATTTGAGAGATATTCGGTTCTCAATATTTTATAATCAATCTTCCAACTTCTTTGCAGACTTTTCTCAATTGTCATCGAACGTGTCAGGGGAAAACTCATTTTAATGCATGAACAGGCAAGTTGAATGATAGATTCAGTCTATAAAAGGAGCCAATGGAGGTGGTAACGGGAGAGAGAACCACCAGAGGAATAGAGAGAAATAGAAAGAAGGATAGGAGCGTGTGTGTGTGTGTGTGAGAGAGAGAGAGAGAGAGAGAGAGAGAGAGAGAACAGAGGGATAGAGAGAATGAGAGTGAGTGAGTCAGCGAGAGAGAGAGAGAGAGAGAGGGAGAGAGGAAGTAGAAACAAACAAGGAGGCAGTCCCTACAAGACGCAGCGGCGCCGGAGTCCAAGGCGGTGCCGTGAGCAGGGCCATGCTCCGCCGCCTCGGGCGGCGCCCCTCGGCTGCACTAGTTTACGGCCGGAGCTCTCCGGCCAAGGAGAGAACCGCCGTAGTTAAAGCCCAGGCACGGGAACAGCGCCCACGTTCCCCCTCCCTCCTCCCTATTTATTTAATGCCACATCTTCAGACCACTTCTCATAACGGGCCGGGCTTTATCCAGAATACCCGGCCAGACTCAACCATCGTCCCGAAAACCAATGTTTTATTATTACTCTTATTAATTTTTCTTCTCATAAGACAGAATAAAGATATCATTAAATCCCAGTTATTATTATCAAAAAATTAATTAGATTTGTTCATTTTTCGGGCTTTTTTATGAAATCCGGGCCTAGCTGAAATGTTGGGACCGGGCCGGGCCTGACGACAGAATGGAGTTACCAGGAGGCTAGTTACCCCAGGAATCGACGACTCAGTAAATACACTCGCCGTCCCCTGTGAAAGTCCATAAATACTCTGCAAGCCGCAGCCGTCTCCCTGGCTTCTCCCTCTTGCGGCGCTCCTCCTCCCTCTCCCTCTCTCTCCCTCTCTCTCTCTCTCTCTCTCTCCGCAGTTAGACAAGCCGTCGTCGTTCGTCATGGTGGGTTCTCCGCCTTCGTCTTCTTCCTCTGGCCGGTGGGCTCCTCCTTACGGCTGAGGCTGACAGGAGTTTTCTCTCCCTTCACCTTTCCCTCTCTCTCTCTCTCTCTTCACCTTGCTCTCTCTCTATCTTTCTCTTCTGCAGGCGATATGGAAGCCGGCGTGGCTAGATGCGCTGGAGAAGCAGAGTTTCTTTGTGAGCTGCCCGGCGCACGCGGCGGCAAAGAAGAACGAGAAGAACGTGTGCTGCCTGGACTGTTGCACCAGCCTGTGCCCTCACTGCCTTCCTTCCCACCGTTTCCACCGGCTGGTGCAAGTTCGCCGCTACGTCTACCACGAGGTCGTACGGCTCGAGGACCTCGAGAAGCTCATAGACTGCTCCAATGTTCAGGTCTCTCTCTCTCTCTCTCTCTAGTTGTGTGCCACAAACGGCAGGTTCTTGGAGGTGATCCAACCTTTTATATTTTATACTCCATAGCCATACACCATCAATAGCTCCAAGGTTGTGTTTATCAAGAAGCGGCCGCAAAGTAGGCAGTTCAAGGGGTCCGGGAACTTCTGCTCCTCCTGCGACAGATGCCTTCAAGAACCCTATCTCCACTGCTCTCTGGGATGCAAAGTGAGTCTGGAATTCTTCAGCTTTTCGCGACTCTCCCTCTCTCTCTCTCTCTCTCCCCCCTCTCTTTCTCTCTCCCTCTATCTATATTTTTTAATTCAAGTCTTGTTTATCTTCGATACTTCTTCTTCTTCTTCACCATTCTGTAGAAACCTTCTCCTTCCTCCTCTTTAAGTAACCTTCGCCGGGTTTTCCTCTTCATTCTCTTCTTTCTTCCTCTTTACGCTCTATAAAAGTTTCATCTTCCGCCTCAACAAGCCGCCGTTTTCTTCGTCTACATACGACCTTCTTCTTTCTCGTCTGTATCCCTCCTTCTTCATCATCCTCTTCTTTCTCCTCGCCTGATAGTCTTCTTCTTCTTCGTGATCTCCATCCTATTCTTCTTCCTCTCCCTCCTCTGCAACTCATTGTCAATATCATCACCTTCTTCTTCTTACCGTCAACTCGGTCGCCTTCTTTCTCCCAGGTGGACTTCGTGCTGAGACAGAATAAGGACCTCTCGCCATACTTGAGGACCTGCGACTCTCTGCAGCTCTGCCCAGATGACGACACCAACCACTCCACCGTGGTCGACACCGATGAGCCCACCGCCACCTCGGACTCGGACAACCTCAGCTACTCGCCGCCGTGCGCCGCCGAGTCTTTCCGCCGGAAGAGAACCACCTTCTACGCCTGCGCCAGGTCCGCCGGGGGCGGCGCCGCCTCCGACGCGGCGGCGAGCGGCAACAGAAGGAAGAGCACTCCCCACAGATCCCCTCTCTGTTGAACGAGAAGAAAAAAAAAGGACGATTATCGATTATTATATAGGTTTATTCGTTAACTACTCTTCTTTTTGAGGATCTGACGTCCCAACAGCTGGAGAGATCGAGGAGGAGCACTCGTGTCTGTCCTCTCCCTTATTAAAATCCTCTCTCTCTCTCTCTCTACCCGTCTCTGCATGAGTGGAGAGGCTCGAGAGATGGTCTACGAAAGGGAGCAGCCGCATTTGACTTTAAACAAAGACTATCGACCATCTCGTTGACTGAGTATATCCAGAGGGGCTATACCGGGTGGCGACGTTGAGCCTACACGTGCGGCAGGATGGTGGAGTGGGAACTTTTGGGCTGGCTGTCATTTTGGGCCGCGGGGCCGGCTAACCAGTTCCTGGAGAGCGGGAGAGAGAGAGAGAGAGAGAGAGAGAGAGACTAGACAGGTACATGTGGTTTCTAACGTATAATTAATCCCTCAATGGAAGCATTTTCTAATTGGATTTATATTTAAATTCGTGAAAATTTAAATGTATATTTTATCCGTCAAAAGGACATGTTTCATCTACACCAGAGATATATATTTTTTATGATCACAAAAAATATAAGTCATAAATACTATTTTCACATTTTATACAAAATCCTTGGGATTTTCTGGTCAGCAAAAATGTTGTAGAAATGAATATATATATATATATATATACATTGATTTTGGAATTTGGGCTGGGCTCGTTTTTACAAAGCCCATCTTCAGCACTTATTGGCCCCTTCTCAAGCCCGAATTAGGTCCGGCCGTGTAAGGAAATGATTTTTTTTAAATGGCTCGAGATCTTGCCGAGCCCAGTTTACCCTTCTCGAGCCTGCTCTGTATGATCCTCTCTACAGAGAGGGGAGAGAGAGAGAGAGAGAGAGAGAGAGAGACGTATGAGGATCATGACAAGCTATATGATTTTGGGCCATCTTATACTGGGCCCGTACTAAATGGCCAATGAACCAAAATAATGGTTGGGGGGGTAGGCACATGACAGAGAAAGAGCGAGAGAGAGGGAGAGAGAGAGAGAAATCTGATAATGATGCCGAGCTGTATGAGTTTGGGCCATAATATATTGGGCCTACATTAAATGGACAAACGAGCCCAATATTATACTGGGGGTAAGGCCCATTGGCACGGTGCCGGCCACATAATGATCGATTATTTGTAAACACGTGACACAAAAGACCGCCGAGTAAAATAGTATAAGAGCATCCAGGCCGTTCTGATTCTAGTGTCCTGAAAAGCGACACGTGTTATGTCGGCTGGCATTAAATACTCTGTGGTCCCCAGACGCACGGATGATGTAAACGGTTGCGGTTCTGGTTGTGGCGATGTGAATCGTGCTGTCCGATGGTGAGGGGGGAAGAAAATTCTGCGCGGAATCTGATCTCGGCCGTCAGCAGGCTCGCCGCCGACCACAAGATCGCCGGAGTAGATCTCTCTGAGGAAGGAGGGAGGACTGAGAGGGACGCGGCATCACGGTCCAATGTCACGGCCATTGCGAGGCGAGGAAAGGGACACGACTTCACGTGGAGTTGGGAAGGGTTGGCCGTGGCCGTGGCTGTGGCTGTGGCTGCGGCCGCCACAGCAGCTCGTTGGCGATGACTGGTCCGTGAACGCAGGGGACCCCTCCGATTTCTCCGGAGTAAGCTGTTTAACCTATTCCTCCTCGTCCCCGATTCCATTGTTCTGGATCAGGTAAGAAAAAGGCGGTAAAGTGGGGGAGGAAGCAGGTAAGGGTCGATCTCGAAGGGGGATAGGTGGTCGGGGCCGCGATCTGTGTGGATTGGAGCCACCCAATTGCTGCCGGATAGTTCGCGTGTCTGCCAGCGTCCTTGATAAGGTAGGGCCCCTGGACGCGTGGGAGCATGACGACTGGTCCCTTGCTCGTGGAAAGAAAAGCAAGACTGCCATGACTACGAAGATGCTATTCGGAAGAGGATATCAGGTCTTTTCTGCTACAGTTTGAAACGAGGACTACAAGCGATCTTCCCGCCTGCTACGCTTGTTGTTTTTTTTGTTTTTCCGAGAGAGATGAGTCGAGAAAATGAGATGTAAATGCGTGGGTTCGGCGTATATTATTTCTTGGAGAAATAAGAAGATTTATTGAGGTCCCGGTGATAGCAGCTGGCCTAGAAACGTCGTTAAGTGTCCGAAAATGTTCCTCGGGTCGCCGTCACGATGACCCGTTGCAGTTGGCAGAGGAAAAGAGAGAGGGAAACAAGTAGACAGGGGAGAGAGAGAGAATTATAGGAATGGGTGGGGTTGATGGACGGGCCAAGATGACTTTTGCCCAACTTACGTGTACAAATCGGCGGTGAGAATTCACTCGAGGGAGGGACGAGGGGGGTGTGTTCGGGAGGAAGCCTTAGACTATTAGTTATCCCTGTTATCTTCTTCTCTTTTCTGCTATCGATAAGCCTTCTCCGTTTTGGCGTACGGAGGGAAGATGGTGAAATGCAACATGATACGGAGCTGAAGGCAGAAGATAGATTCCCCAGGCTGCCACTACAGTGGAGCGTTGCCGAGATGCTAAGCAGCGAAGGCTGCTAAGGTAGCAGAACAGCAATACTATCGATGCTTACAAGTTTATCTGCTAGCTCGAATTGGGAAATTGAGGATTATGATGCGTCTATCGCGCAACTTCTTACATGGGTTTGGAGTTGAAAATGGCCTCGATTCTGTAGATTTCCTGGTTGTACTAGTGACTGATGTGTGGATCATTTCCATATTCTCATTTTTAACATAGCAATACAGCAACCCTCGTGTGATCTTGATGTTTCGAGTTTCCTATTGAAGATTGGAAACGAATATCTCCTTTTCCTACTCATTTAGTGGTTTTTTCTTAATAATTGTTTTACTGGTCGTTTTCGAGATTGGGTTATGACTGACTTGGTGATTTTGAGGATTTATCATTTTTTATCATTTTTTTCCAATTCCATTATACAAACTTCCGACAGTATTTCTGTCATAATTATCTTTGATATTTTAAAATTTTCCTCTGGGAACCCAACTTTTATTTCGGGTGCTTATAGTCAAAATGCTGATATCTTCAGGATTCCCCTGGTGGAGTGGTGCGATAAGTGAAGCCCAGTTGATACTTCTCTCTAAGCAAGTTGCTGCCTCTCATTTTCGTCTTCAAGAACCTTTTTTTTGGGTGTGGATCGAACTGCAACTACACAAAGCACCATACTTCCAAGTTTTCAAACAGGCACGACAGGAAATGATACCGAGCACATCCAAAAATCTGTATGAGAAGCACTACGCATCACAGACACAGGAGGGTGCATCAAGAACACCCTCCGGCAGAGAATCTGGAGAGAAATGGATGGCATTTGCCACAGGATCTGGAGAGTCCGATCCAAAAACCAATCTTGTTTCACACCCAAGTGGCAGTGAGATTCTTGAAGAATTGAATGACGCCGGCATTCAAAAACCTAGCCAAGTATTTGCAGGGGCTGCAATAGTCGATAGGGCAGCAGAATGGGGTCTAGCAATTCCCTCAGAAAAGGATGGAAGTAAAACAGTGCCTCCAGGGTCATCTGTAGATGGCAGTAAATTGTCGCTGGGATTATCTTTGGAACTGATAAGAGCATCCACTGATTCCAATTTTGGGTCTGAAGGGATTCCTAGGGTCTCCCAAGAGCTAAAAGATGCATTATCTACTCTGCAACAGACTTTTGTTGTTTCTGATGCCACAAGACCTGATTGCCCCATACTGTATGCAAGTTCTGGTTTTTTCACTATGACTGGCTATTCCTCCAAGGAAGTTATCGGAAGAAATTGGTACTGGACATATCTTACTGAAATCAATTTCAATTCTGAGTTTACATAATTTTATTGAATGTTAAGCATTTTTATGCTGAGAGGGATAACAAACTTGTTTTACTTTTGTTTCAGCATTTTCGTAGTATACCAATTTTGTTACTGAGAGTTTCGCGTTCTCATGATTTTTATCCTGTTAGAATAGCAATTTCCAACTGATGCTGGATAAATAGATATATATTTCTCACCTTATAATTTCTATGAACCGTTGCTTACAACAGTGTTTTCTTCTGCAGCCGCTTCCTTCAGGGAAGTGATACAGACAAGCTGGAGGTTGCCAAGATAAGAGACGCTGTTAAAACTGGGAAAAGCTACTGTGGTAGACTTTTAAACTATAAGAAAGATGGCACACCATTCTGGAATCTTTTGACTGTCACTCCGATAAGAGATGACGGAGGAAAGGTCATAAAGTTTATAGGGTAAGTTTCTCCAGTACATTTAACCAGGCATTCAAGTATTGTGACATGAGTTACCTAAATCTGAAGACAAAGACATGTAGACCTAAATCATCGTCATTCCAGTTTAGAGTTTGGTAAAATCGTTTCATGGAATTTGCAACAGCAGTCTGAAACACGATGGATAGTTTTCTTCGTCTACAGTGATAACTATCCCTTATTGAATGAAATTTTATGGCAAATTTTGCTCGTTTAGTACATGCCTGGAAGCATTCACAACTGGTCAGACTAAAGTTCTCACTGAGCCCTTGGGTGTCTCCATGGTAAACTATTGAATAACAGAAGTGCAATAACATATTCCTTCTAATGTTCCGAACATTTTGAAAGCCTGGACTTTATTTTTTTCAAATTGACGTGGAGATCAGTGGAGGGGGTGCCATCATTTTGCACTATGATATATCCTTGAATAGCGACAACAAGAAGCTTTTCCATTCAAGTCAAAGTAACGAGAGGATGTCCCATATTTTCTCCTTGTGAGATGGATTGATATTTATATGTACTATGTTTTATCGAAATATGGAATTTATAGTTCTTTATGAATGTAAACCGCAGAAAAATAGCATTGAATCTTGCATCATGTCGAAATTCAACGGATTGTCAGAAGAAGTGGGCCAAGTAGACCAGCTGTGGATAAGAGCGTCAGCATGTGCCTAATGAATAGAAAAAGTAACTGCGCTCTATTTGAGCTCCAGATCTCATTAAATAAGACCAGAGACTACTTTTTATTATGAATATTTTGAGAAATGTGTGGTTTTTTCTTTTTTTTTATTTACTTGTGTTCTTGTGATCTTGTTCTTTTTTTTTTATTTGTATGGTTTTACAGCTTAGCATTATCTTTATCTTTTTTTGCTGATGTCCTTAAATCTTTTTCATTGATGCAGAATGCAAGTTGAGGTTAGCAAATATACTGAAGGTTTAAGTGATAAAAGATTGAGGCCAAACACGCTGCCAGTATCACTAATTCGTTATGATGGTAGTCAACTGTTTATTCACATTCAGTTAAACAATGTATATTTTAGTAGCCGTACTGACATTTTATTTTTCAGCACGCCAGAAGGAGAAAGCTTTGTCCTCCATTACTGAGGTTGTGCAAACTGTGAAGCATCCTCACCGACACTCCCATAATGATGGTCATGATATGACTCCGAAACCAACTGAGCTCGAAAAGTTTCGTCTTGATTCTCCTCTCCAGAAGTATGCAGAAATTGAGCACTTCAAAACACCTGGTAGAAGTACCTCTCATCTTGATGCCCAGAGTGTGTTGTCATCCATGCCAAGCAGTCCTCGGGATCCTAAAAAGCCATCCAGGAAACCGGGACGTTCTTCTTTACTTGGATCAGCTCGTTCATCCTTAATGGGGTGAGTTCAGATAAACGTGAGGGGTAAATATTTTGAATAGTTTGTGCCTATGGCATCAGGAGCATATCATCCTCATGAAGCACAATTGGTGCTTTTTTTCCTTCTTTTTTGTTGCTGACTTCTGATGTTTATCAAGTGTTACAAGCCTTCCCATCAGACTAAAATATGTTTTATTGGAGAAATGATCTTAAAAATGTTTTGGTGTTCAAAACTAGACAAAAAATATTACATCAGAGTTGATATCTATGGGTATATAACTTTTCCTAATGCTTTGGTGAAACCAAAATAGTTGGTAGAAAGATGAGATGGAATTATGCAAGATTCCTGCAGAAAGCTCAATTTGCCTCATTGTTAGAAAGTATCGTGATTACACAAGCAACTTTTTTCCCCTTGATCCTGTGTGACGATTTTTAAGGCTCGTGTCATACATAAAATGGACTCCATGATTTTTCTCCTGTTAAGTTTCACATATTTAATGGGGTGTGTACATGTCCTGTGCCTTGTTACATGCTTAGAATTACTGTCATATTTTATTTTCAGTCCTCAATCACATTTGTGCTGCTGGCCTTCAGAGGTTTGATTCCCATGTACTATCTTGTCACACCCCTCCTTTGAGTCTGCTACTCTCCATTGAAGCCAATACTTTAAAGTCATGAGAAAGCGAAAAGCATTAGACAATTGAACTCCAAGTGGATGCCTATATGCAAGAACCTAATACTCGATGTAACCATGAGGAGTGACAGAAACGTTGCCCTTTGAATTTACAGCTAAATTCTTCTGTATCAATGATATGCTTTGAGCTATTTTCAGGCTAAGGGGAAAAGCTGAAAGTTCTACTGAACAGCATGAAGCCATTGAACCAGAGGCCTTAATGACCAGAGACATTGAACGCACTGAAAGCTGGGAACGTGTTGAAAGAGAGAAGGATATACGCCAGGGAATTGATTTAGCAACAACATTAGAGCGCATTGAAAAGAATTTTGTCATAACAGATCCTAGGCTGCCGGATAACCCAATAGTGAGTGAATTTCAGAAACTATTTTTCTGATATCCTTTTAGACTCATTGGAGACAAAGAACAGTTTCTTTTCACTGTACATCTTTGTGTAATTCCCTTTGTCAAATCATTTTTATGCCCTTTCGCTATCACTTTGATTTCGTACGTAATCATTGATTCTTTTATTCGTTTTACTATTTTCCTTTCAACAAATGATCATCATCTTCCTCGAATTTTTTGATGATTTATGTAACTTCAGAGCACTGGCTACAAAATATATTTGCAAATTGAATGGGTTTTTGTTGCAGATGATTATATTTTGATGATTTTATTTAAGTCGATATTTTATTCAATTTTTTTGATTCTTTGTTTCTTGTATGCTAATTTGTGTGATGAATTTTCGAATTTTTTGGTGAAACAATAGCATGCTGATATACTGTCACGTCCTTCCTCTCTTATATATCTTTCGTTCTAAGATAAACTGACTTATTTTGATTACAAAATATCTACAGATATTTGCATCTGATAGCTTTCTTGAGCTGACGGAGTACACACGTGAAGAAATCTTGGGAAGAAACTGTCGGTATGCTAAAACTGTTTTATTTGCATTCTTTGGGTACCACATGACGATGTACAAGTTTCGTTTGTCTGGGACTAGCTTGGTTAATTGGTGATGGGAGGGTTGGTGTAATATATACTTCACAGTTGAAACATGCTTTTTATTTGTATGACATATGCATAATGGATAATACGATTTAGACAACTGAATCAGTAATGAATTTTGTGACGTGGATGAAATAATCACTGCTCTGAAATAGCTTTTCGCGTTATCACTTTGTGACGAGCAATTGTCTTCACCTCATGAAAGGAGAGAAAAAGATAAGCCAAAAAAGGAAGAAAGAAAATAAGTTTCCATGAGTGCGATCTTCATGGATGCAGTAAGTGCTCATAATTGAATTATCATTCTTGAAATCCATTCTGAAAGGAAGAAAGGAATAGAAAGGGATTTCAGATTCCACATTAAACTAAAACGTTTAAAGTCTGTGCTTGTATTTTATCTTAGCTTTTCAAATCATCGTGATGCATATACTGTGCTTAATCCAGTTTCTTATTCAGGTTTCTTCAAGGTCCTGAAACTGACTACAGTACTGTTGCAAAAATAAGAGAAGCCATTAGAGATCAAAGGGAAATCACTGTCCAGTTGATTAACTACACAAAGAGTGGTATGCTCCTTGAATTTACATCTTCAAGTTAGAGTAAATGCATATTTCTTTGAAAAATTATTTCTCATTCTCAGTTTCATTTCTATCGTACATTGTACTTTGTATGAAGTCCAACATATAAATATCTTATTTGGGAATACGCCAGTATAATTTGGCTATCCTTTTTTAAGACATTTTTTTTTATCTTTTTCTTTGTGTGATATTGAAAGTTTTGTTTTCAGGTAAGAAATTTTGGAACCTATTTCACTTGCAACCCATGCGTGATCAGAAGGTATACACATTCCGTTATTTTGATTTATTTCGTTCTTCATAGTTGTTCACCAATGATTTGAAACTTCTCTTTCGTTGTCATTGGGGGGGGGGGGACATCAGGGTGAACTTCAGTACTTCATTGGTGTACAATTGGATGGAAGTGATCATATGGAACCCCTTCGAAATCGTCTTTCAGAAGGGACGGAGCAGCAGAGTGCTAAGTTGGTACGTGCTTAAAACTTTTCTAAATTTCCCCTCGATATAGCTTTGCATTTGTTTTAAGGTGCTCAACCTGTATTAGAGCCAGAATCAGGCAAAACTTTTATATCAAGTTATAATTTTCATCCCTTGGATGAGATATCCTAGCTGCTGTTCATTGTTCTCTTTCCTACATATTTACTAATTGGGGCAGTGATACCATTTACGAAGAAAACACTTTGGAGTAAAATATTGTTCTCAAGTGTTGGATTCTTCTTGGTCATCTTATTCTTTGATGCTTTTTATTAAAACATAAAATTATACTTGTTTTTGGTAGCATTTTATGAGGAATGTAATATGAATTTTTTATTTGATCATGATGAGAACGTGATACTTCTCACTTATTTTGTTTCTGATCTTCAAGAAGCTAAATACTGTTTGGTGTTCCAAATTAATGAACTTAGGGTGGATAACCTTAAAGAAGAAATAGGCATAGTCTTTTTAGTAGTGGATATCACTGTGAGTACATTTTGTTAGATGGGAGGGTGGGGTGTCGTCGATGATTTCTGTCATCATATGTTTTCAACCTTCTGTAGAGTGGAGACTCCTGTAAGGAGAAAGCTAATAGGCTTTGAGACATAATCAATTATAATAAAGATATATCAACATGTATGCATTTAGTCAAGATTAGTATAGTTTCAGAAGAGTCACTTTTAACATCCTGATACGATTTTTATAAAAAAACGGATATCATTTCACAGGCTGATTGAACTGGCTATCGAAGATACAGATGTACATTAAATGCATCCACAGGCGGAAAACATATATGTTCATATATGCATATTTGCGTATTATTTCTTTGATTCTTTGAGCTGGTCCAAATTGGCAACTCATATTGGACAAAACATTTCAAAGTTGGATGTTAGAAGGCGAATCTAAATGGATTTATTGTGCTATGTTTGCAACAGTGATTTAGAATTTCATTGGAAAATTAGATGGAGACATGATTTTAAGCAGCGCTCTGAATTTCTACATGTCTCTCACAAGGTATCTTTCCGCCAGAAGTTGAAGGGTCCGGATAATTCCAACCCAGTACTTTGGTCCCCTGGAGGTTTCTTTCAGAAACTGGTACGAGGTTTTTAATAGGTGATGATGTAAATCAATAGTAGTTGCTCTATTCCTTTCCTTTTTAGCAGTGGATGTCTTTCAACTTAAAAAGTACGCCAAAATTTTTATTAAGTCATTCCCAAAGGTTGAAGGGTTAGAGAATTGTATATTCCTAGTTACCAATAAGGAGCTTTTGTCAAATGATATCAGAAGAGCTTTAGGGACTTAAATGCTGTGTTGTGCTGTGTCCTCACGTTTTTATGTTATATTTCGCTATCAAAACGTCTTCCGTTAGTGTGAGGATATTTTTTTGAGATTTTCATTTTTACCTTCATGTAGGTAAATAATTTTACGTAATGTTTTAATCCACAAGCACCTGACTTTCTCTTTGTATAGGTTCAACATAGGCCAAAAAATTTATGATTCCTGTTTCTTACGTGTCAAAAATATGCACTGAGAAACCTCACAAAATTGCTTTGGACTTCTCTGCTAAGTCGAGTAGAAGCTTCATGAGAATGGTCTCACTTAGTCCTTGATATGGACTCACGACCTCATTTTACGACACAGGGATGGAATAGATGTTGGTGGACATCGTAACACGAATTATGATTTAACACTGGATATTATGGATTATAAAAAAAAAGGGAATATTTTCATTTTGAACGATCATTGGTAGACTTCGTAATTACTCCAAGTGGATGATTTGAAAAGTACAGTTATGGAAGTGGCTTTTTTTCAAATTTCTTTTACAGGTCAAAGCAACAGCAGAGAATGTTAATGAAGCAGTGAAAGAACTACTTGACCCCAACTTGGTAAGGTACATCTTTTGCGCAGCTACATGTCTAAAGAAAATCTGATATTACTTCTTTTGTCCACAACTACCTGTGTGCATTTCTTTTTCAATGGAAGGATTGGATTCCAGTTACTTATAAAACGTGAAGTCTCAATCAGTGCATAAAATATTATCCAACCTTGTCAATTTCTTGATATATAGGGGTTTTATTTGATTTGTGTGACAGCCACAATGTTCCGTGAAAGTTTTTTCATTTGAGATATACTAGTATATCAGTAGAAAATGATTTACCAACAAAACAGCATGCACTTCGCCATTATTAAACGTCTACAGCAGTTAAATGAATGTTCAAATGTAGATGTCTGTTCATACTACCTCAATATTTGCTTAAATTTCAGGCGAATTTTGCATTCAAATGATTAAGTGATATTCAATTTATTTTTCTTGTGAGAATGGCAAGCCAATTTCGCCTATAATTACTTTAAAAATTACGTATGTGAAGAAAATGTGGATGCCTATTACTACTTTCTATAACCGTATGGTAAAATCATTGTTTAGAACATCAAATACTTCTAATTTCTGTGATTGAGATATTTGATTTTGAAGATTTGTTTCCTTTTCTGGATAATATCTAAAATATTCTGCCGTGTTTTGATCATGTCTGCAATCATTTAGTAAACTCATAACTTGAGGTGGTTTATCTCTTTGACGAAATTTATAAATTAATTTTGATTATTCCGTCCGTAGGGTCCCGAAGATCTATGGGCAGTTCACTCGCAACCTGTCTTTCCAAGGCCCCACAAAAGGAATAGCCCTTCTTGGATAGCAATTCAGAAGGTATTATTTTCTGAACCAAAAAGTTTCGATTGCCTTCGCTATAGTGATACTATTATGGGTCCCCTCTGCTCCATACGTGAATGCATTTGTTTCATTCAAAAGCACGTTGTCTTGTATTATCGCCTAAAATAATAATTTGGTTGGTTAATATGCTGGGACTTATTTGAGTGATTTCCCTTTGTTTTTGGCTGTTTGAAAAGGTCATTAATGATCCTAATCACATATAATTTTGGGGACCAAAAGAAACGTAATTTGACTCAACATAGATACACTCCTGGAATGGAGTTCCAACTAAATAAACATATCTCAGTGTACACATTTTAGGAAACATGATCTGAAGATAACATTATTGAGAAAAAAGCCAAACGAAATTGTTTGCATTATGGAACTGTTATGGTAAGGAAATCTTACTTATATTCAGCTAGCAATTATTTTGCTCTGCTTACAACTTTGGTTCTACTTATCCTCATACTTTCACTGGCGTTTTGGGGCTCTGACATCTTGCTCTTACTCATTCAGTTTTTCTAGATTCCAAATGCTAACTGACTTCCAAACAGCTCTTAAAGGAATGATATTATAATATAATTTGATTGTAGACCTATATGAGTTGGAGTAGAAATGGTTGGAGTTTTGACAAGTCGGTATGATTCAACGTTTTTCCTTTATCATTTCTGAGTCACAATATGGTATGAAGATATATAACTTTGAAGTTGAGAATATTGATGCTGGTCTTTACTGATGACTGCTTACTGCTGTGTTCTAAACTTTACATGTCTCCAAAGATTGCTGGACAAGGTGAAACGATCAATTTGAAGCATTTTAGGCCCATAAAACCCTTGGGATGTGGAGATACCGGGAGGTAATCCTTCAATTAAGGGTTGTGTTTCCAATGCGCTTGAATACTTTATGGAACTATGCTTGTTTTCCTTATGTCGATTTTTTATATAAATTTTTTAGATTTTGATATTAATATCCGCTAGGAAACTCATTTCCAATGTGTAGGCTTATTTCTTTATGAAACGTCTCATAGAGGAGGTGTGTTTTGACATGAGAATGTTCACTCAATTATCTAAACACTTTTACGTGATTCTGAGGATACATCATAAATGTGGACAGAGTTCATGCAAGGTTCTGAAAAGTGCTACTGGTTTAAATTTGATATTGTAATTCTTTATGAAACGTCTCATAGAGGAGCATGTTCGTATGAAAAGAGAAAAGTCGAAAGGGAAAAATGTGAAATCTGTGTGCAAAGATGTGACAAAGAAAGAAAGAGGAGGAGGGAAAGACTAGTAGAGAAAGATGGGATGAATGAAGAGAAAGATTGATCTCCAAGTGCGCACTAGACTTCAAGCTGTCAAAGCAATTCCAAGATGTTCGACCTTGATCGGCACATAAGGCTGTTATATTTTTGATGCTCGTTTGAAAGTTGGTGTTTAGTGAAACTCCACAACGTCTAAGTACTCATAACAACAGTTTTGTTTTATAAAATCATATGAGAAAGTTTTATAACGTGAACTCAGTTTGCTTGCCAGACTACTTTAGTCATACAGAGGCATATATGGGCCTATATACGTTGTCTTATCTGGCTTTTCTTCAAATTTTTGAGATATCTCCCATTTTATGTCATTCTTCTTATTTTCTCTGCCCTGCAGTGTTCATTTGGTAGAACTGCAAGGCACTGGCGAACTGTATGCGATGAAGGCAATGGACAAATCAGTAATGCTGACTCGGAACAAGGTATGCTGTTAGAAAACCGCATCACTAAAACAACATAGTTGATGCTGACTAGCTTTTTACTATTCAAGAATATGGATTTATATATTTTCTTTGTGTTTATCTTGGACAGAATGAGAGTTGCCATGTGCTATTATTAGTGTCTTTCTTTGTCTTAGAATTTTAAATATTTGATAATAATCGACTGTAGGCATTCATTATGTGGGCTTGTTCGCATAGACTTCATAGAATATTAATTCGATTTGGACTGCTGGTGTCCTCTAATGCATCTTTTACCATTTTTTACGCCATATCCAGGTGCATCGAGCATGCATAGAAAGGGAGATCATTTCACTGCTTGATCACCCTTTCCTCCCAACGCTATATTCTTCTTTTCAGGTTTAGCTTCTTATCTCACAGTGTTAATTCTTCATTTGCCCTATCCAAATTTTTCCTATTTGCATAGAATTTTATTTTTTGCAATATGATAAAATCATATGTCATACCTCTCGTTGTGGCATCTTGTTGGAAATCCATGCATTAAGCTACGTCTCAAAATTGTCATCTGTCTTGGTTTAATTTTTTAAAACTTGGCCATTTTTATTTGTTATTTAATTTCAAACCATTTTTCTAAGATTGATATTCCCATTACATCTTAGGTTTGGGTTTTCCTTTTGACAGACTCCTACTCACGTTTGCCTGATTACTGACTTTTGCCCTGGTGGGGAGCTTTTTGCGTTGCTAGACAAGCAGCCAATGAAGATATTCAAAGAAGAAGCAGCGAGGTAAGTAAATGTGACCATCCGATCCTGAGTGTACATAGCGCATGGTTTTCCGATTAGGAAGGATAGATTTCTTCCCCTGGTATACAATCCCTCCCGGTTGATCTGCTTAAAACATTCTTTTCCTTAGTATGCCAACTGTCTCGTGTATTTTATTTCCTTATCTTATTCTTAATTTATGTTTAATGCTCTCAGGTTTTATGCTGCAGAAGTTGTGATTGGTTTGGAATACCTCCACTGCCTAGGTAACTTGCAAAGTTAAAATATAAAAAATTACATTTGGTATTGTGTTTTAAACTCATTGATTAACTTGACTGTGTAGGTATTGCGGCACATAAAACATAGGCTGGATTATTTACAATATTTATATTTTTTTTTTTGTCACACTTTGACTTGTGTAAATTATTTTAATCGAAAGAACTAGACACAGATGCTTCCAAAGCTGTAACATTTCTAAATATTTATGCTATACCATTGTCTTATGGTTTGAACTCTGTGTACAAACCAATAGATCGAATAATATGAATGATAAATCTAATCAACGATTGTTCCAAATACATTAATTTTGAGTTGGGAGATAACAGTTTCAAACTTAATTACTTGTCGGGCATGTTAGTTCCTTCCTTGCATTAAACTGATATATTTCATTGATCATCTTCCAGCTAGGTTTGATGGTTAGAAATCCAATGAACTAGTTTTCAACTGAAACTGGCCAATTGTACTGTCCTTGACTAAATTGATGTCAATTTTTGACTTTTAAATACTCAGGGTTGATGTGATCTCGGTATTGCTATTTTCCGTTATGCGCACATAGTTGTGAGAACATTTGATTTATTTAATTTAGCATGTGAGAACATTTTTCTTTCTTGTACTGCAGGAATAATTTATCGTGATTTGAAGCCAGAGAACATTTTGCTACAAAAGGATGGGCATGTTATATTAGCTGATTTTGATCTGTCTTTCTTAACCTCTTGCAAACCTCAAGTACGGCATTCTGCCCCTGCTTTAATTCTACGTGCTTCCTAGAAACGTTGTTTTGGAAACCTCTGGCCTCTCGTTAGTTTGAAGTTTGATTGCATAAAGTTATGTGATCATGCTAGCCGTTGTCGTATCAGAATTCCCCTACATGATATAATGTTAGATGACTTACATCCCTCCGTTCCTCATTCTCCCTCTCCCTCTCCCGCCCCTGCTTGTATGAAAAATTAGCATTCTCATTAAACCTCTTGCCGTCTACTGGCACCCCGCCTCCAATCCCCTTCTGATGTGCCAAATATGCTATTTGGGGAAGAGCTTGTCGCGGAGGCAACTTTGTGGTTGGTACCCTGCATCCAGGAGAGAAGGCTTGTCGTGGGGAATGGTGGTTGGGATTTCTCATAGTATTTTTGTAGTTGAATTCACCTTTTTTGGGGCAAATCAGCCTGGAATTGGAAGATTCTGGATGGATCAACCACAAATAGGCTGATCCAGCCAGCATGGCCAATATCTGGTGTGTCTGAAATGGTTCGGGCACGGCACTAGTAGCCGGATGGGCGGGCAAAATTGTTAGAAATTGTGAAGATTTGTATGCCCTATGCCATTCCCGGAAGGAACTTGGTCAATCTAGTTGTCCGATCTGATTTGGTTTGCCATTGTATCAGGCATAGCCTAGTGCAATAATCATCAGAAGATGTGTCCACTTGTCTAGAATGACAGCATTAGCTCCTTCATATGAGAACTTGATTCAGACAGAAGTCATCTGATGTCTTTAACAATACCCAAGCATCTAGAGTTCCATTCTCTTAATGGCCACCATTCCCTTAACTGGAAGGCCAGCATCTAGAGTGGTCCTAGCCATCAGATTTGTCAGATCCAGTTCGAGTCGGCTGGTCTTTAGCCAGAGTTAACTGCAATTTTTAGATGAACGCTCGCTGTAAACTAAATAAAAAATCTCTCTGCTGTTCTGGTCTGACTCGGTTGAATTTTTATTTTCGCAGGTGATAAGGCATGCAGTGCCATTGAACAAGAGGAGAAAATCCAAGGATCATATCCCTCCCGTTTTTGTTGCAGAACCAAGTACACAGTCGAACTCATTTGTTGGGACCGAAGAGTACATAGCTCCAGTATGTTGCCAACACACTGTACTCGTTGCTACTAATTTTTTTCTAAATTTTATATCCACATTGGCGTCAGTTGATTGTTGATATTCCCCCAACAGATGCTATGCTATGCACTTGATTTCCATGGGACAATCGAAATATCTCTTAATAAGCACATATCAAACATGGAAAATATTAAATATTCTGTGAATTCTGTTATTCCTAACCGCTATTTATTTTGCATTTTTAACCTGGAGTTGCACCCTCTGTAGATAATATTTAGCTTACCGTGCTTTCATTTGATGTAGCACTAAGATGGGTCATTCTCGTGGATCACATTCACGAGATGCATGCCTCCATGAGAAGTTGGATCGTTGCCGAGCTTTGTGCTATGCTTTGTTTATGTTTCAATGACGACTACAAATAAAGAGAAGATATTATTTTTTGAATTCACACGGGTTCATTGTTCCTTTCCTGTTTGATAAACGTCGGAGTTGATCCGTTGGCACTTGAATCTTTCTTCAGTGTTCAGTATTTTTCCGTTTTTAGATGCATGCCTGGGATTCTTTTAACTTGAGTATCCGAATTAGATCCTCTTGACTTTCTTCTGCATTATAATTTATTACAGAATTTAGATGCTTTTGTGTCTTTAACATAAAATTTCCCTTATATCCGATTTATCTGGGAAAATATTCTCTCACAGATCTAATCTTTTTATCTATTGTATTTCAGGAAATTATTACCGGAGCAGGACACAGCAGTGCTATTGATTGGTGGTCTCTCGGTAAGATTGTTAGTATCTGAAGTGTTAGCTTCGTAGCTTGTTGCTGATATACGACAAGAGAAAGGCCGAGAAGAAAGATTAGCTTTAGATAGAACCAGTCTGGCAATAATCTTCGTACTTTCCTTTTATCATTCGCTTCCAACCTGATGTTTCCATTGAATTCATCCGGCAAGACTTAATTGTTGCCATATTTGGTATCCTGGTGCAACGCTAGAAAGCAATCTTCTTTCCTCCATTATCTTCCGGAGGCAGGCAGTTGTTCTTTGTACGGCTGGCTTTCTAGAAAAATATTGGCATGACATTTATAGAATGTAGATTTGGATGTTATTTTTCCGTAAATACAGTTTTTCCTCACATAACGTAGAGTGTGCATACATTTTTCTTACTTATATTTTCCGTAAATACATTTTTCTTGGTTTCGGTAATATCTCCTTCATAAGAGCCCAACTGTTCCTTCAATTCACATTCAATCAAGAAAGTGTTTTTTCTATTATTATTATTTAATTTTTGTACGTGATGATATTTTCTCATCTTATCCTCTGCTTCAATGACGTAGATTCACTGATAAAGGAGAGATTTTACTTACTTTCTATGTTGAATTCTATGATTTTCATCTCAGAAGCTGGAACTTTGCCGTGCAGGGATTTTGCTCTATGAGATGTTATATGGGCGCACACCTTTCAGGGGAAAGAACCGGCAGAAGACATTCGCCAACATTTTGCACAAAGATCTCACCTTCCCTAGCAGTATTCCGGTGAGAGAAAAACACTGTTTCTCTCTCTATCGCCTAATTTTGGTATAACTTGACCTGCCTGCAGATGGGCATCATTTTAACCTGGCCCCCATGTGTGTGAAAAATGCCAGGTCAGCCTTGCAGCTAGGCAGCTCATCAACGGATTGCTGCAGAGGGACCCCGCTGTCCGCTTGGGATCGAACACTGGAGCCAATGAGATCAGGCAGCACCCCTTCTTCCGGGAGATCAATTGGCCCCTCATTCGATGCATGGTACGTCCCACTTTCCCATGATCCAAGAGAAGAAATAGAATAATTATATCTATTAATCATGTGAGAATATTCTGATTCGGAAAAAAAACCTTGCCCCGAGCTCTGTAGCATGAAGAACTACCCTTTTGGGGAAAGAGGGAGGGTTTTTCTTTCATATATATAATGGGATATATATATATATATTTATTTATTTATATTTATATGTATGAGCATAGACTTACAAGCATATGATTGTGAAGTTGAGGGTTCAGAAGTGTCTGTCTTATTGCAAAGCTACTTTTGTGATCGTCCAGGATCCGCCTCAGCTCGACGTCCCTCTCGAGTTAGTTGGTAAAAATTTGGACGACAAACCCAAGGCCCTGCTGAAGGATGACGAGGAGGTCCTCATTCAGGCCATTGAAACATTCTAAGGTGCGCATCTCCCTCTCTCTCTCTCTCCCCAAAAGCTCTTTTTGGCTTTCCCATATATAATTTAGAGTCTTAAAGTAAGGGGCAGTGTAACCCACCCACAGACTCATCTCTGTCTCCATCCAATCACCGTCTCCGCGTCGGTAGGATCCAGTCTAGGTACATCTCTCTCTCTCTCTCTCGTTGGGTAGGTTCATGAAGAGCCAGGCCAAGGTTCAGGAGGCCCAAGTTGTATGGGCTACGAGCCCACGTCTCTCTCCATCCAGCCCCCCCCCCTCTCTCTCTCTCTCTCTCTCTCTCTCTCTTTCTCTATCGCTGTGTGGAGAATATAGCACCCAACTCATGTGGGTCCTGTGGTTGCAGGCTGCGGCGACGGCCGTCAGGAGTGCGCCATCTTGGGAGATCTCTGCGGTGGTGGGGTAGTTCTCAGCCATTGTAGTTGTGTACAGCCAAGACCGTGGGGTTTATTAATAAACGAATTCCAGGGGCAGAGAATTCATGTGGGCGCGCACCTGCCGCTGTAATAAACCTCCTCTCCAGATTGTCCACCCCCCCGCTCTCATTTCCCTGTAGAAATCTTCCTCCTCTCCCCAGATATGATATGCTACCGAACCCACGCTTGCTCTTCATTTTATTTCCCCTGATTTGGGAATCTCCTCGTTCGCCCCCCCCCCCCAATGGGCCGATTTAGGCCTCAAGATTGAGCTCGGAATGGAGAGTAAAAAAAAAGAGGGACCCTTTTTACGCTGCCCTCTCTCTCTCTCTCTCTCCCTCTCGCTACGTGGGGAGTCCGTGCGTCTGTCCTTGCAGAAGGCAGCAGTCGTTGAGTTAGTCCGTGCTGTTGCTTCCGTAGGGATGAACTAGGCCTGGCCATGCCCAGCCCAAGCCCAGTTTGCTTCGCAAGGCCCGGCCCCAGCCTCAGAGAGAGAGAGAGAGGTAGAGAGAGAGAGAGAGAGAGAGAGAGAGAGAGAGAGAGGGAGGGAGGGAGGAGAGGAACTTGGCTGTCAGTCAACTTTTCCTAGAAAAATGAGGCCGAGAGGGGGTGGGGTACCGCCCTTGCGAATGCACACGATAAAAACAAAGTCGGGAAACCAAATGACGTCGCGCTCTCGTCCTGTTCCGGGCGGCGAAAGAACGCGTGTTGCCTTCCGGTGAGTTCAAGGTCACGGATGACGGAGATCCCTGCCGACGACCGCCGATTACCTACTATTCGTTATCTGATGTGCTGCCATAAAAAAAAATCTCATCTCACAAATTTTCGCCGCCATTTTAATATTTTTTTTAAAATTAGTGACTACCCAGTTGACTTCTTTATGTTTTTGAAGATTTTACGCTCCAGACATCTTTTTTGAACTCAAACTCTCATGTTACCACCTTTTAGAGGCAGATAACAAGCTGCTTAGCGTTTCCTAGTATTAATCTTTTGTTGTAAATTTTGAGTTGAAGGTCAACGCTCCTCGACAAACGAATTTATGATGTTAAAAAGTCCTCTAGACAAAACTTTCAAGCATATTTTACTCTCGAAAAAGTTGGAATAGTGTGCTCTATGAGACTCTAACAACCATTGGCCCAGCCATTACAGACACATCCTGGTCCTTAGGATGAGAGAGAGAGAGAGAGAGAGAGAGAGAGAGGGAGAGAGATATGTCACATGGATTTATATAGCAAAAAATCACATGATAAGATAAATGAGTTTCTTAGGCAAGCCCCATTGAAGGCAGGGATATGAAAAAATAACATAAAAAAATCAAGCAATACGAAGTTTGGACCCAGCCTTTTAAGTATGTAGTTTCCTAAAAGGCATGTGATATTGCCTAAGAGCCCTAATGACTCCCATCTTTGATCATGGTCTCCAAGGTATTGTTTTTCCAATTGATATGGCCAAAAATCACCTCAAACTTTGAATGATTTAATAATAGAAAACACCCATTTACGAAGAAGCAGAGACCAACTGAGTAGAAACTACATAACAGAAGAGAGTGCTCTAAAGAACAAATATTATTTTCCCAACTTCTAAAACCAACGAAATATGACAAGATCCATCACACATCTGTTCTTGATTCATATGCCAAATGTAACAGCCTTGTTTAAATCGTGCAACATTTCATCACATCGATGTAAGCCAGACATATAGTAAGAAATTGACCCATAGCAAGCTTAATTCTTTTACCCAATCCTTTAAGTCCAAACTATTAACGAAATGGAATGATCTTATGTATATAACTAAAACACTTATGTATGTAAATATATTTATGGCCATGACATGCTAATTGGCATTATCTTCATCATAAATTAAAGGACATTTATTGGCATCATTCTCATTGATTATTGAACAATACTTGTTGTCTCCTCACTTAACATTCTGTCACCATCACTAAGATTTTATCAAGCTAGAGAGAATTAGGGCTCAAGGTTCAAGATAAATAGCAATGGCATTCATCAATACGGTGTTTTCAAGGACCGTTGACTATCATGTGGTCGGTGATTGGGTTTACATGTCCAAGGGGAATGGTGCTCGCTCAAGCTTCCAAATTGGGCCACATCATTATTTTTGCAAAGTGATCTGGCTACTTTGACCATCACTTACTTACAAATTATTCTTGCAACAGATTTCCCTAGAGAAGCTACTAGTATTTATCGCTAGAATTGATCTGATTTATTTTTTTTAATAGATATCATCGCCAAATATACTTAATTAGGAAC